ATTTTCTTATGTTTGAGATGCTTAGGTTTATGACATCCGGACGCTATGTGATTTCATTAAAGGGTGTCCACGATGAAATTGCCACACTATGAAATTGCTCTAACTTTTTAACCGTTGGGTAGAATTTAATGAAAATTTGGGTGGATTTAGTTCATAGTGCATCATTTACATCCTGCAAGTTTTAAAGTCGTGTGATCAAAACTCGCGGAAATGGAGTCGAAAGAACAGCTAGTGCGTGATAAAATCTTGCGCATTCATCACGAGAACAAGGATCTCTCGCAACGTTCCATCGCTAAAACGTTGGGAATCGCGAATTCCACGGTGTCGCGAGTGATTAAGCGGTTCGAGGAACGGTTGACCACCGATCGGAAGCCCAGAAGTGAAGGAAAAGTATTCCGTACAACACCAAAAATCACAACCGCGTAGTTGGGGCCTTCAACCGAAATCCGAACGCCTCCGTTAGGGATGTGGCTAAGAAGCTGCACCTAAGCCGAAGTTTTGTCCAGAAGGCCAAAACTAAGGCTGGGCTTCGAACGTTCAAGGTACAAAAGGCCCCTAATCGCGACGAGAAGCAGAACAAGTCCGCCAAAACCCGTGCCAGGAAGTTGTACCTCAACATGCTGACGAAAGTTGAATGCTGCATCATGGACGACGAAACATATGTGAAGGCCGACTTCAAACAGATCCCCGGCAACCTGTTTTTCACGGCCAAGGATAAGTTCAGCGTTCCGGAGCATGTCCACACTCAGAAGATGTCCAAATTTGCGAAGAAATTCTTGGTTTGGCAAGCCATCTGCACGTGCGGGAAGCGGAGTGCACCTTCCGTGACCCAGGACACGATGAACGGACAGGTGTACATAAAAGAGTGCCTCCAGAAGCGGCTGCTTCCTCTCCTGAAGGCCCACAACGTCCCAACAATCTTCTGGCCGGATTTGGCCTCATGCCACTACTCCAAGGACGTGCTGAAGTGGTATGCGGACAATAAGGTCAATTTCGTGCCGAAAATGTTCAACCCTCCCAACACTCCGGAGCTCCGCCCCATCGAGAAGTACTGGGCGATTATGAAGCAGCACCTTTTTAAACGACCTAAGGTAGTGAAGACAGTCGAGGAACTGAAGAAAGTATAGGTTTACATGCAAAAAACGGTTGATTCACAGGTTGTGCAGAATCTTATGGCCGGGGTTAAGGCCAAGGTGCGGGCATTTGCGTATGGACTGTAAATAAAATACGAGTAAAATGGTAAAATGAATTTTAATAGTTATTTCTCAATCCCTGAAAATTTGATGGCAATCGGATGAAAACTCGAATTTTGCGAATCAATTTTGTGTGTGGCAATTTCATCGTGGACACCCTTTACATAAAGCTTGAACAAAGGTTCATTGCTTGTTCCAATTTAGTAAGCTTTTAAGACTCCCCCAATCGAGGTCCCAATCGTTGCTATGAAATGAATATAATCAAATTTAATGTTTCACCATTAAAATAAAAGTAAGCCGCAATGTCATATTGGTCACAAAAAAAAAATGTACCGAAAAACAAGCATATTCGCGTTTTTATTTAACCGTAGTTTAGCAAAAAAAAAACACAACAGGCCCCCCCCCCTAGGCCCCCTCCAGATAAATTTTGTAGCTACACCAATGGCAAAACCCCGCCGGAATTATCTACATCAAATTTTAGAAATTTTAGAAGTGTGAGAAAGTCAATTTTCACCCTAAATATATTTTCTAGTCAGCACTAGACCTCGACGTTTCACGCATTTTAAAGTCATTTGACATCAAATAAATTGTTGAATGATGATAAAAGTTCAAACTTTGACGATTTTGCGCCACCCCAAATAATGTCCGATTGAGCCCAAATTTGGCATAGGGTATTTTTTCGAGCCAATGAACATGAAAATTCGACGGTCACTTCTTGCCATATATTTCATGAGACATCCTAATTTAATATTGCAAATATTCGCATCAATGCACACTCAGTACCAGTATTTGAGAGATACAACTCACAATGTTCATTATCCTATCAGGCTCTCACTACGAATAGGACAGAGGCAATGGACGAGTGCACCGATGAATTTGAGTTCACTCACTCGAGAAAAAGTGACACAAGCTGCGGGCAATGTTTACTAATAATGAACACTAAATCAGTGCCAACATTTCAAAGGGGCGTAATGCTTTTGTAAACAATGGCTTTAGCCGTCGATTTCTCGCAAATAAAAGCCCACCCCTCCAAATTACCATTGCTAGCTGGTACAGGAAACATTCATCTACCTACTGGTGTCATTTATTTTTATGAGTGAGCTTTCATTCGCGAGAAATCGACGACTAAAACCATTGTTTACAAATGCAGTTACGCCCCTTTGAAATGTTGGCACTGAAATGTTCATTATTCATTATCGTCCATAACAAAAATATTCCGACTCAACTCAGCGGGAGAACAGACAAATGCTGAGAATGTGTTCACCTAAGAGAAGAGGGCGAAAATGAACCAATTTTCTGTCAAACGTGAACCAGCTCCTGATTGGCCGATTTCATGTGCGTAAGATAGAGATAGAGATAGAAATAAAAGAGGAAGAAGCCAATTGTCACCTCTTCCTCTTAGGTGTTCACCTAACCAGATTATCTCTCTCTTAGTCATGGAGCTTAAGCTGGGTTTAGATTAGGCAAGTCAAATGATCAACTCAGTTGAATTCAATTGGCTTGAAAAGTTGAGCCTGGTTCAACTTTTTTCAATTCAAGTGAGTTGATCAAGTCAGTTGAATGGCATGGTTTACACGTTCAATTCGCGTTCAAGTCAGTTGAATTCAACTGACTTGATCAATTGACTTGCCCTGTCTAAACCCAGCATTAGTCGTTCTGATTCACCATGAATCTAACTCGAGGTCTGAGTCAGAGTGTTCTGATTGAGACAAAGAGAGGGGGGTTAGAGGCAGTTTACCTGTTCGGTGAAGCAGTTGTGTTTGGGTGCTTCTAATCTTGGACTGTTTTCGTGCGCGTGTGATGATGGCAAAGCGTAAGCCGCTAAAAGACTCGCTAAAAGAGCCAGTGTTGAGTGTCGTGAAGGAAGTACCAACGGAAGGAGGATCAGTTTTTCGGTGCAATGCTGATCACGACGCCAGCCAAGTGCACATATGAGCAAACAAAATTCATAGCAGGGAACTTCAAGCGGCACATTGTGTCACACCATGCTGTGGTGACCAAAAGTTTGGGGTTTTGCGAAAGTGAAGACGCTGGAGAAGAGCCATCTACGAAGAAATCTCGTGCGAGCGCGAGTGTAAAATTATTGGTTGACACCAACAAAACACACGTTAATCTGGGAACGTTGCAGCTTGTGGCAAGCCACAAAACTTGTTTATAAATGTAGGAGTGACATGCTTGCTCTATGTAAGGTTGCAGGTTCAGTTAAATAAAGTATGCAACTATTGTCTGATCGAATTAATCAATTATAGCGGTGCCTCAGTACAAATTAAAAACAAAGCACTTCGTAAGCTAAAGCACTAAATTTAGTACATTAAATTTTATGCGACACTATTTTAAGGATTAAAACAGAAAGTGTCCATCTTTCCCTCACTGCCCTCAAGATGCCTCGTTAGCGCAAAACCGTCCATTTATTGCAAACCATTTCGCCTCCCCACGGGCAAAATTTAGGTGAGCATTGCTCAGTGGGTGAAGACCGAGGTGAAGACAGCAAATCTAGACCAACAATTGAAATAGGCGGAACAACCAAACGTAAACATTGGCTTTAAACGCAAATTCCTCGTTAATTAAAACACATCGAAGCAATCTAACACCACCATCTGATAGAGCAAACTTCCTTTATTGAATTGAATAGCTTGGTCAATTTTTCAGGGGCCACCCTAACCTGCTTGTTTAAAAAAAAAATCATAACTTGTGAACCATAAGAGATGGAAATTTGGTGTCTTCCGCAAAGTTGCTGCAAATTGATTGTTCTGCAACTTTCTAGAACATTGCATTGGTCTAACTCAAACAATAAAAAAAGTTTACATTTTTAATTCACCAATTTTGTGGACCACCCTAATTTCACTAACATGAAAAGATTGACCAAAAAATATAAAAAAAACTTTCCCGAAGACACCATATGCCTGAAACCAACGGTTTTAGCGCAAACATTGTTGTCTTCCTAAATACGGCTTTGGAACCATTGTGCATTGATTGGGCGGGATGCTCAGTATGCACAACCTGTTCACTATGCCCCTCTTACCCCTATGTTATGCCATTACTAAATACGAACCCAGCTTCAAAGGTCATAATTTTGATCCTGGAAGTGGAAATATATAGCAGGTATCTAACCTTTTGATATTTACAAAGTTATGCTGGGATTATTGAACATGAAAGCGACCGCATAAAGTCATTTTTGAAATAAGTCGCTGGATCTACAACAGCTACCACCTTCCAACTACATATTAAACTGCTAAAAATGTTTGTATACAGTGCCTTCCCATTTATAGGAAACACATGATGTTTGTTTTCTTTGCTTTCTGGAAAGCCCACCCAACGCTTAATTCAATTTCTGCTATCACTAGACCATTCTTTGGGGATCCTCTTTACTTGGTATTTCATGAAAAACTATTTTGAAAGCACTAGCACAAATTTGAGGAAACAATTATCTGATGAGGTCGAATTTGGTGCTGAAAGCCTCTATCTTTTTGCCAAAATTGGGAAGACACTCTAAGTAAGGCCTCCTTCTAGCATTACCACTTCAAATTCTGTGACCTCTCAGTGCATTCAACCGAAAAACAAATTACCTTCTTGGCACAGATCCAGTACGTCTTGTAGGCACCTTTCCGATTTTTCACGAATCTGTAGCCGTCGACGTGCAGCAGGACGCATCCCCGTTGACCAACGGTGAAAAACACCTCCTTCGGCGGACCATCGACATCTTCCTCTTCTTTCACCTCCTCTTCCTCATCGTCGCGCTTTTTGGGTTCTAAAACAAAAATTAAACAAAAGCTATCAGTACGCATCAGCAAATTTCCTGACCTCAATCGAAAAACACGTATTCCAATGAAAAACCCCGGCACTATTTTCATCATTTAAATGCGTTTATTCACAAAGCGGTCGGATTGCAGTACTAGAACGGTTCGTGGTTGTGCGTGGGATACCGAACGACCAGATTTTCCTCGCCGTTCTGCAGTGTGTAGGTCAGTACTCGGGCCTTGCATTTGCTCATGCCGGCTCTCGCACAGGACCAGTACGTCTTGTTTACGCACTCCTTGTTTTTGGTAAAGCTGTACTCGCCGACCTTCAGCTTACGACTCCCCCGGAAACCGGACACGTAGCGCACGTAGAAATCTGAAATTATTTAAGAAAAAAGGTTAATGGTGGAATCATTTGCCAAGCATTTTCCGCGGAGCCATTGAAAAATGAGGTACTAGATTTTCGTTTCTTTATTCTCAACTCTAGCTAGTGTTTGCTTCAATCGCTTCAGCGATCCATACGACCGGGGCGTGGTTACGACCTCGTGGTTGTGCTGCACGTTGATCATGACGAACTCGTCGGCGACGGTTTTGATCCGGGCCCGACACTTGAACACGGCGAACTGCGAGCAGCGCCAGTAGATGATGCTATCGCGCTTGACGTGCCGGTTGAACAAGTGCCCCATGTGCCGCAGCTGGACGGTTCCGCACTTGCTGATCACGTACTCCGGGATGTCGGTAAAGGTCGGTGGTGGTTTCTCGTGGGCTGGAAGTAGTAGGGCAGTGTGTTAGAGAGGGAGAGAACTACACCTGATGGAAGGTATTATGCATTTGGAACAAAGCAATAAGAAAACCAATTCTAGTACTGCACTATGGTGATTGATTAAATACTTGTCATCAAATGTAACGTTTATTTATTTAAACGAAAAAAAAACATTAAAATAATATATTCTAGTACTTCTTAAAATATTAACGTAACTTTTTAGGTTGATTTCAAATCGTGTTTCGTGATATATTTATGTGTAGGCTGCAATGTAGATAATGTATTCGAGTTTTGGTCTATAAGCTACAGCCTTTTTCCTATTCTTACTGAACAGCACGCAGCGCATAATCAAAATAAGCTCATCTTCGAGTGTTAGTACTTACAAACTTTTGTTAAAGCTTACGCCAGGGGGACATACAAGTTGGTTTGTTAGTTGGCTTCATTTCTGTTTTTAAGTCGTGGGTGAATGGCAAATGGATAGTCCGTTGACAGCTCGTACATCCTACAAATCACCAATGGGTCAGAAGATGGTGTTGCTTCCAGTGCACCGAAATCGATAAAATATTGAATCAACCAACGAATTTGCAAGATCTTAGGCTGAAAAAAATAATTATTAAATTTTGAGTTCAATACACGGTAACGTAACAGCTATTTTATATCTTCAGATAAACATTCTGAATCCAGCCTTATTTTTGAAAAAGGCCTTTAGAAAAAATGCTAACCTTATTTTCAGAAAACTGTGACTCAAAAACTGTTTGTCCGATCGGTTTGGTGTCTTTGGAAATAATGAAGGTAAATTACGTTCGGTAAAACTTTGACTTTCATTGTGAAGCCTATTTTACTACAAAATAGCTTTAAAACACGATCGGCCTTATTCAAATGAACAAATCTTGACATTGTAGTGAAATTTTCGTTTATTAGTAGCTATAAAACAATTAAACTGAATTGCCTAAATTTTGCCGAACAGTTTAGGTGTTGAGATTTCGGTAAAACTTACCGAAGTAGGCGATATTTTCTAACTGTGTTGGGGCTGAACTCCGGTTCACAGATATATTTTTTTCAATATTCCGGAGTCCGGATTGAGATTCTGGGGCGTTTACAATTTCTAAAGTTTCATAGTTGCGAAAATGTTGATGATTTCCGACTTATTTTTTTAAGTTCTCAAGCTTAAATAATCACACACTAATGGGGTGCTTACATCTGTGCGAATTTGCTAGCGCTAGTGTACTCGCCAACTAGCACGAATTTCAGTTGCTCCTGAAATTTCATGCTCGTAGACGCTGATGCCCTAAACACATTATGCTAGCGAGATTTTTTGCTAGCAGCTAGCTCATTAGCGCTAGTGAAATAGCATAAGTGTTAACACCCATAAGGGGAAGATGTAGGATTTTTCGAAATTCAATTTTTTTTAACCTGGAAAAATTCATTATTTTGATGCTTGAATTTCATACTCAGGAAAATATTGTAGATTCCGAGAAAGCTCTGTTGTATTGATATCTTCTTCTTCTTTGGCTTTATTACGTCCCTACCGGGACTATATGCCGGTTTTGACTTGGCATCTTCAGCAAAGATGCTTATTATAATTAGCACAATCTTTTGGTATCAACACATAGTTCAAAAGTTATCTGCCTAGATGACGCCAAAATCTAACTTTTAACTCTTACATTCTAGAGACTTAACATCTCTACATCTCTAACAAAGTTTTACCACCGACAAACCGACATGAAACTAAAACTTAACTCTTGATCGAGAATCCATAACGGCAGATTCAAATATGCAGCGATCCCATCTGTCAAACCCATAGAAATTTGTTATCTAGATAAAAATAATTTGCCCGGAATAGATTAGACACGAACCAACTCATACATTTAGTATGTGTGTTCGTGGCTAGGATACACATTTTTCGCGAACACGACGGCAGATGTCAGTTATGTGCTTTAATCAGAAATTTGATGATACTTTGTATGATCATTCTTGTCGGTTTGTCGGTGGTTTTACATCTCACAAAAATAAACAACCTTTCTGAAGACGTAAAAATTCCACAGCCTAATATTTTCAAGTTTTCTTGAAAACGAAATAAAATGTGTGAAAACACAGCCATTCCATAGAAAAACGATATAGTGGTTCTTATAATTTCGTAAACATTGGTACTTTTCGTCCTTACCGCAAAATATTCGGTTCGTCGCTAGTATGAGCATAGAGGTAACTCTAAGACCAGAAGGTCCCGAAGAAACGAGCTCAATTCCTCCTGTGTTACCTGACTTGTAACGAATATAAGTACGTTGTGTCCGTGGACCTTTGAATACAACGTATATTTCGTCTAATTTAGCATAGCATTTGCAATGCTAAATCCGAGAACCTTCCAGAAATTCCGTTCTAAAACTCTCCAGAGATTACTAAAATTTCACAGAAAATCCAAGAATCTCCCAAAAATTCCGCGAACTTCCCAGATTATCTGAGACCAGAAATGTCTAAAACTTTGAAAAGTTTTCAGAATTTCTGGGATTTCTGGGAAGTTCTAGGATCTTATAGGAAGTTCTTGGGATTTTTAGAAAGGTCATGAAAAACCTGGGAAAACCTTCTGAGATGATCTAGCCATTTCTGAGAAATTCTCGTATCTTCTGGGAAGTTATTGGAAATTCTGGGAAGATCTCAGAAAATGTGAAAATTTCTCGGAATATTTGGGAAGTTCTCGGAATTAACCTAACTAGTATCTTGCATTCTGGGTAATTCCCGAAACTTTTGGGAAGTTCTCGCATGTTTTTTGAGTTATTGTTAAGTTTTTTGAACTGCTGAGATGTTCTTTGGATTTCTATAAGATTTCTCAATATCGGAGAAGTACTCGGATCTTCTGGGAAATTCTGGGAAGATCTCAGAAAATGTGGAATATTTTAGAACTTCTCGGAATTTACCTACCTAGAATCTTACATTCTGGGTAATTCCCGAGAACTTCTGGGAAGTTCTCGCATCTTCTGGGAAGATTTTGAAGTTTTATGGGACGTTCTTTAAATTACATATTTTGCAAACAGTGACAGATAGCGGACATGAAGAACCAGTGGAGGTGCCGGGCAAAGGTGTTTATCCTAGACAAATGGTAAGTTACAAATTCGCTGTTGTCGTTGTCGTAGGCGCCGTCGTAGTCGCTGTCGTAATCACCGTCGTAGTCGTAGGCAGTACCGTTAGTATATTTAAAATTAACCACCATCCGCTGAAAATATGAATTATCGTGTATTTCTGTTGTTCATTACATACCAAGTAAAATTCGAGAACGTAATTTTATTTGAATAGCTTGTTCAACCAGGTCTTAAACAATCGTCACGTCGGTCATAGCTTGTTATGATTACCTGAACCATGCGCAAAGAGAAAATCGAAACATTTAACGTCGCGTGAAAATAGATCTTAATGAAGGCCTCTTTCATAGCTTTTAGTTTAAGGATTTCAAAGATCGTCGGTTGCAGTGGCTTGCTTACTGAGCAGAAAAACACGGTCCCAGATCCTTTCATATTAAAAATGTATGCTTAGATCACTTGTTTATCGTGTATTTCGTAAAGCTTTTCGTTGTCGTCGGTGCCGGGTCTGAATAGTCATAAAAACTTGAGTAACACTATAATGTGATATGAGGGGCTCGGTGGCCTTAGCACAACCGGTTTTGCTTACTGAGCAGAACATCATGAGTCTAATCTCAAGCCATCCACATTCAAGATTCGTCAATCGTATTATTTGTTAACATGACTACATGGTAATAACAGCAACTCGATGATTAAAAAGGAGCTCGTCTGCCTAGTGGCAAACGTTTTTGCTTACTGAGCAGAAGACCGTGGGTTCAATTCCAAGCTCCTTCACGTTATATGATTGTTAGGACATCAATTCAGCTTATCGTTTACCAAAACGAACCCTGCTGCAAACCAAACCCTATTACCCAATATCCCAGTGATTCCTCGTGGAAGTGCAGAGGTGTTCTCGGCTTCCATCAAAGCGAGTGTCACGTCAACACATTCCTACCCCTTCCTTTCTTGACCTGTGTTCGGGCGCGGCCGGCGCTGGTATTGCCTAGTTTGAGATCACCAGTTTTTACACATTGAGGATGATTGCTAGTCCCAAGCATCGTCTATTGGTTCTCTGTGTAATTACAGCTGGTCTGGCAATAACAGAGTAGCAACCGTGGGCGGTCAATCATGCTCATGCTCATGGGACGTTCTTTAAATTATTGTCAAGTTCTTTAAACTTCTGAGGATTTCTTGGGATTTCTAGAAATATTGCAGATCTAATGCGAAGATCGGCGAATTTCAAAGAAATTCCAAGAACTTTTCAGAAGTTCAGAGAACTTTTCATAAATTCTGAGAACAGATCTGCAATTTTTCTAGAAATCTTCTCAGAAGTTCAAAGATCTTTACAATAATTCAAAGATAGTGGCACCAGTGGTGTGGTGATAAGCGTGATTGCCTCTCACCCAAAAGAGGCTGAGTTCAATCCCAGTTCGCGCCGCCGGGATTTTCTGAGACATAAAATCTCTGATCAGTAAAGCTGTTGGTCCCGGCGGAAATTGCAAGAACTTCTTAGAAGTTCAAAGAACTTTACAATAATTCAAAGAAATTCCCAGAAACTTCGAAACCTTCCCAGAAGATGCGAGAACTTCCAAAAAATTATCCAGAGTGTAAGATAATAGATAGGTAAATTCCAAGAACTTACCAAATATTTCGAGAACTTTACACATTTTCTGAGATATTCCCAGAAGATCCGAGAGCCTTGATTTTCGGAAAGTTCTCGGAATTTTCAGAAATTCAACGATCTTCTGAACAGTTCTTGGAAGCAATTTTTGGGAAGTTCACAGCAATTGTGGGACGTTCTCCGAATTGCACGCATCTTGTAACAAGTTGTCGGCATTCTGGGTAGTTCTCAGAATTTCTAGTAAGTTCTTCTTCGCGGGATCTTCTGGGAAATTCGCAAATCTTCTAAGTGGTTCCTGGCAAGCTTTCAAAATTTCTAGAAAGCTCTTGAAGCTGATGGGAAGTTGTCGGAAATTTTGGGAAGTTCTAGGAATTTCTGCGAAGTTCTTGAATCTTCTGGATTGTTTTTTGGAACTTCTGGAAAGCTCTCGGAATTTTTGGGAAGTTTTCAGAATTTGTTGTAAATGCACGGAATGTTTCGGGTAGATCTCAGATATTCTGAGAAATTCTCGGTAATTATGGTGAGCTCCGAGGGGCGACACATCTTATTCTCAATTCTCGAAATTTGTTGAAAGTTCTAAGAATTTCTGGGCAGTTCGCGGATCTGCTAGGAAGTTCGAGGGCCTTCTGGGACGTTGATAATTAAAAACTGAATTAAAAGTGGTAACCAATGAAAACTGTCTATAGCTCCAAAACTATTAGACTTAGAAATTTGGTACATGGAATAAAATGTCATATTTTGAGAAATTCTATAACTTTGCAGAAGAAAGTATCCTTCTATCTCTTCAGGCAAAAAAGTTAGGTTCTTCATTTTTTCATAGTGGGGCACGATAAATTTTTGAAATTGTCACATTATGGGCAATACTGATGTGAACAACTCCTCTAAAGATAGTTTTTTTTTTATTGAATCAATGGTTCAATATCGACAATTCAGAGAAAATTTGGCGTCAGATTATCAGCTGTAATAGCATAGAGGTAACTCTAAGACTAGAAGGTCCCGAAGAAACGTGCTCAACTTTTTGGCTCAGCTCTGGTACTCTCTTCGGTCCCAAGCTAATTGATTCACCCCTCGAAACATAGGAAAAACCAATAACCCCTCATTTTACCTGTCAAACTTTCATACCGAATCAAAACAAACATTGCGTAGTACTAGAATGTCGACTAGAATGGGGTATGTTAGTCGATTTGCTTGGGACCAATAGGCTACTAAAGTGGTGAGCCAATTTAAAATCGTTAGTTTCGTATTGATTGTTGGTTGTACCATAAAGGTAACTCTAAGACCAGAAGGTCCCGAAAAATGAGGGGTTAGTGGATTTTCCTATGTTTCGAGGGGTGAATCGATTAGCTTGGGACCAAAGATAGTACCAGAACTGAGCCAAAAAGTTGAGCACGTTTCTTCGGGACCTTCTGGTCTTAGAGTTACCTCTATGGTACGGTGCTGCCCACGGTACAGACAACGTAAGTCCAAGCGTAAAAGGTGGTGGCTTCTGCTGCCGGTTAATGGGCTGTTTACACTTAAGGTTCAATCGAAATTACAGCGGAAAGGCCCAATCTGAGGAAGCCTACTGGTCGGATTGAAAACTAGTTAGAGCCAAATCGACTTCGGTTAGACATCTTGATGTCATTTGTGACAACTGGCAAACTTGCCGTTTCCGATCCGCTTCCGTCCATATTGCGTTCAGGCTAGTTCACTAGCTCCACCAACTTAACCAACTAGCACAAATTTCAGTTTTTCGTGAAATCTCATGCTGGTCGATGCTGACGCATTATGCTGACGCATTATGCTGACTACATTTTAGTACAGTTCTAGTACACTAACGGAGATGTAAACACCACATAAACCCAACCAATATTGAAAATCTCTCACCAATTCAAGATCAACATGTGAAAAGGGCATACAAGCTTTTTTGTAAACAAACCTTCTTATGCCCTTTTCTCACTACCCATATGACACCAACTCAAACCATCAACATCACCGGGTAGGGGAAGCTTTCCCCTTCCCGATGATGTTGTTGGTTCAATTTAAATTTTTCAAAATCAATGAACCCAATTGCTAAATTGTCATGAGTCTCATAACAATAATTGCACAGACTTGGGAATAATATTACAGCACATTGTTACTTGGGTGGTTTTGATGGTTGTAGTTCTAGATTGTCCCCGTAGAACCCAAATTTTGATCACACTCATATAGAGAATATTATCGAAATACGTACGGACAGACATTGGAAATGCTCGCTACTACTGATCTACTGTGCATTTCCTCTTTGAGGAAAACGCCGAAACAAGTCTTAGACATTGAGCACTCATGCTCATGGTCATTTGTTTTATCCGAGAGTGCATGCTCACGAATTCAAACCTACTAGCTCTACCCATCATATCCCGCGTCGAAAGGTTCGTTTTTGATGGCCACCATCGATGCGGTCGGCGGCACAAGCGTCGGCAGCAGTAGATTTGGGCGGGGATGATTGTGCAAGTAGCCTCCCAGTCGTATCTGATCGTGGTTACGGGTTACGGCACGCGCCTTACAGGTATTCTTCTTGGTGCATGCCCACAGGGTGCTGGTTTTGGTGACGCCTCGCTTGAGGTACGTATATCCTTGATACAGCAAGTTAAGGTTACCCCTGCGGTTCTCCACGTACTGCAACTGGACCTGCTTACGCCACGTGGAGACAAAACGGTGCTGTTGGTGTTGTTGTTTTTTCGGGAGCCGAGGTGCATCACGGAGCCGACCTGTTGAGAGGAAACAGAAACAAAAATGAATTAGTATGGATTGTACATAAGGAAACTGTATTCCAGTACTGTGTCTTAAATAAACATTTTACAAGCTCCACTTTATTGCTGACCTGTTTTACAAGTTCTTATGTTTGAAAAAAATATGGTAGTCGGCTGAATGTCCTTTTATCGGGTTTTCCGAACACGGCGTGGCTTGGTCACTGCCAATAAGGGAAACCAGGGTATTGCTGGTCTTGGTTCCGGGTGGTTGTGATAATATTCTCCAAATTTGATATACTTATCACCGATGGTAGTGGCTCGGGCTTTGCAGCCTGTTATCCGGCAGCTCCACCAGTTGAGCCGCTTGGAGGCCTTCTTCCTACCGAGTGTGTATCCTCGGAAGAGGAGCACCTGATTGCCGTTGCGATTGGTGATAAACGTCAACGGAGTTTCGTACCACATCATTGGCTCCGGGTTGGGATGAGTGTCCAGCAAGTGCGGTCCAGCTAAATAGGAAATCAATTACATAAAAAATATGTTTAATTACATAAACACTCGCAGAATTTTCACGGCGAATTGCGAGTAAGGGATTGCGTAATTTTATGCCTGGGTCTACAATCTAGTACCTCTAAAAAATACGAGTTTTATTCAATTAAGTGTAACGGAAAGTTAACAAAGTCATTTAAAAATTGACGCAAACGTCCGATAAGTAAGCTGTCCAGCTACTTTAGCGCAGGTGATCCGGTCCATATCGGGTCGATGATTGTGTTGAGCTACAAGTTGAGATAAAATCGCTTAGATTAAATCTACGTCTATCACTGTCAATCCACTTACCATTGGTATTCGAAGCGTACAAAAAGTTCCCTTCGCTTTTGAGCCGTCCACGACACTTGACCGATCGGTTGTGGACGCATTCCCAGTAGAGAATGTTTTTCTGCGGTCCCTGACGACGCATGTTCGAGCGGTAGATGTGGTTCTCATGCACCAGCAGCACGCCTCCCTTTCGACTTACTATGAACATGTATTTCTGTTCGTCGTCGGCTGCGGCGCATTCGTCCTGTCCTACGGTTCGCTGGAACTTTTTCCGCCCCACTTTCAAGGGATCTGGAAATGCGAACGAAACAGTCGGGTTAGTGAAAGTAGGAGTAAATTTGCTATCCTTAAGAACAAAATAGAAAATCAATGATTGATGAGTTGCAGAGTTTATTAAAAACAAAAATCAAGTTTCGCGTCAAACTTTCATCGACTTTCTCTGACGAAATTTTTGCATCCGCCGACGGGCGGTTAACTTTTTCACAACGGCCTTAATCTTATCCTCCAGTATTGTGTGGGTCATGCCCTGATCAGCCCAAGCCTCTGAAATGGTTAAAAGTCATAATCTAGTACTACACTCAGCGATATTTTTTCCTACGAACCAATCATACACTCGATGAATATTTCATAATTCCTCATCGGCATCTTCTGCTCGCCGATGTTGTTCGTTCCGGAGTAGTTGTAACCCATCAACGCATCGTCGGTGAAGAGATACGGAAAGAAATTCGCTACATCCATCGACCTTGGTTTCTTGAGCGTCAAATATCGCACCTGTTGTAGTATATGTTAACAAGTCAGTCAGTCAGTAACAACCATTTTTTTTCAGTATTAGAATAGTGTACTCACATACTGATCCCGGACGTTGAAATCATGCCGAACGGTTTCCTCCAGCCGTTCGATTTCGCCCATTGAAACCAACGGAAAGTGGAACCCATTGACCCGGGCAGTGGCACACGTTCGCTGGCGTTCGGCCTGTTTGGCTAACTCCTGCAGCTCCTGCTGAACGTTGCAGATTTGGATGTCCAGCTTAACCTTGTCCTTTTTACTCACGGTCTTGGTGTTCATTTTGTTCAAACTCTGCAACCGATTGCGAAGCTTGGCTATGTTCTTGGCTGGAAAGGTGAACGATAAATCAATTAGATTGCGCAACGCAGCGTATACTGTGGACTGGAACAACGAAAAAGCTACATTCCGTTTAACAACGATTCATTTAGTTTATACACATTTTACGTTTATTATCTTTGCTAAGATTCGTCATTGCAATTTGTGTTCTAATTCAAAATTGACGACCACGGGCGTCCGTCTTTTTCTTCTGTCGGCATTTGAGCTTCCGTCTGGAAATGTGTGCATTCCTAACCACGTGTCGGAGTTCGTCTGCCAGAGATTCTTCAGTCACACCCTTGCGTTCCCAGGCATCTATAGAATAGAAAAAAAAGAGTAAATTTAAGACCAAAATCAACAAGTTTTCAAATCATTACTCAAACTTTTTTAAATTAGGCTACATTTAATAGGGGAAAGCAGTTAACACTGTTAAAATCGTTTTAGGCGGAGTCAGACTTTCAAGTCAATTTCGACAACAAAACGCATATTCAATCTAAATTCAATGTACTTATTACTATTGCATAGTAATAAGGTTGTATAATCATATGCGAAGAAAATTAAATTGTTTGTTTAATCCCACTATTTTACTATTTTTCATAAACCACACCTGTGGGGAACAGCGAGACATGCCAGTGATATGAATACCTTTCTTTGTTAGAAGGGTAAAATGTATTATTTATATAGGGAACGTCAATTAATTACGTCACACAAAAGGCCCATTTTCAAGCCCCCCTGCCCCCTTCACGTTCATTACTGCTTCCCCTCTTGCTCGAACGTTAGCGAAACTATCAGTTCCTCGTTCTTTTGAGGCATGAGATTATCTCAACGGGTAGGTCACTCCGCACACCAATCTTGGGTCATCTTTTTTGTCAATGTGCCGCAAGTGTGCAGATTGTGCCGGTCATAGAGCAAGCTGCGATTGTTTGTAAAATACTCATCCCGGCAACCCGGGATTTCTGACACCTTGAATGTTTTGGTTTGAAATCGTAAAGATAAATCGTATTGAGGATGACGCGGGAAGTAGCGGGTGTTGGTGTTTTATGTTCATAGGATAAAAAATTCCAGTTGTTTAGGGTTTTAAAATGCCCTCAAAGGCAGACCAGAAACCTAGCCTATCGTGCTGTGAAAAACAACGGTCTATCAGCGGCCGGAAAGATATGGAACCGGTGGGGAAGATTGTTGGAGACCGACTATAGAGGATGATGAATTGACTTCTGTAGTTTGTTTTGTGTGAGTTGCATCATTATTTGAATTAATGGTGGAAAAGCTGAATAACTACCTCTTTCTCTTGAGCCCACTCTAGAACCTACATTTCGTATTTAGATCTATAAGTGAACTACTGGTCTGATTTCTTCTGATATATTCAATAAGCGAATGTTCCTGAATATACAGTCAAACCGCACGTAATGTTGTGAACAACTTCAATGACAGTTATCCAGCAGTGCTCCCATTTAATTTACAACAACCTAATGCCTACGAGATTGGCCGAAGGCGTACCGAAGGGATGCCGAAGATGTGCCGATGGATGTGCTCAAGCTGTGCCGAATCTATCTGCATATGGGAAGCAGGCTTCATTGAACTTAACGTAACGAGCAATCACAATTTCACGTAGGTCCTTGTTCCACAGCTGGTTTGCGTTAGTGGCATAACCGATCATTATCAGCTCTCTACTTTCAGCGTCCATTTTTGCGTTGTTGAGCGGGAATCCAAGCAAATGCTTTGCAACCAAATACTCTCAGCTTCTCCAGATTAGACGTTTTCTTCATCCAGCATTCCGCAGGTGTTGAACTTCTTTTTTTTTTTTTTTTTTTTTTTTTTTTTTTTTTTTTTTTTTTTTGTAAAAGTGAAGTTTTATTTGTCAGTTTAGCATACAAAGTTTTTTTGTTTTACCGTCAATTTGCTACATCAAGATTAAAGTTCAAATCAGCTAAATCAATTCTTCCGTTACAATCGTTAACGAAGCTGATATATGTAATAAACATATTCAGAATTGCCACTCTATGTCTGTCGTTTATTCCTAATAGGGCAGGTCTTAGCAAGTCTTCGAACTCGAGTCGCCTCCATCCACCCAAGATGACTGTTATTCTCTGCTGAAGAACCGTCCAAGCCGGGCCGACGCGAGCACAAGCACAAAATTTGTGGGAGAGAGTTTCTGCTGTACGGTTGCCACAATGCGTACAGTTTTCGTCATCTACTCGCCGCATCACGAATAGCAGTTTGCGGTGCTCTATCTTCTCGTTCACCAACAAGTAAAGCTTCGTCCTCTGCGCTGAAGTAAGTTGCCTCGATGCAATGTTTCGCCATATGCGTGACCAGCCACTTGCTGGTCTGTTACGTTCCACCCTTGGTAGCTCAGTTTGCTGGACGAAGTACTGGTGAATTTGATCGGTGGAGGGGTTCTGTTGGATTTGGTGGGGAATTTGGGATAAGTTTGATAGGATTTGTCTAAGGTCGGGAAGATCTATTGAGATGGCTGGGCGGGGATTATCGTGGAAAAGAAGGGATCTATAAAAAGGAAGGGATTCGATCTCTTGTAGGTGTCGGTTGATTGCGAGTGACTTACATTTCAGAGCTGGTAATTGCAGCTTCAGGCCTCCATTCTCTCTGCTGCGTGCCAGCTGCATCATTGGGACACGGGCGACAGTCCCTCTCCAGAGGAACGTACCCATTGCTGATGTGATTTTTGCCGTATGCACTCCCAACGGCGGTAGTATGGACGCGAGGTACCATATCCTGGACGTTCCGAACGTGTTGAGCATGATGACCCTTTGGTGCAGCGTCAGCGTGCGCAGAGAATGCAGCCACATTTGTTGTGCGAACTTCCCCACTAGCGCATTCCAGTTCATCGTTGTCATCAGTCGTATTGAATTTGCGAAAACAACACCCAGAATTTTAACTACATTGACTGTTTGTAGCCACTGAGTGTTGATTCTGTTGTCTTCGCAAAGGCCAACATCGACGGCAACAGTTTTCCGCAAATTTAATTTTGCGCCAGCAGCTCTCTCGAAACGAGTGAACAGCCTATTTATCTCATCGATTTGCCTGGTCGATGTGACGATCACACTGATGTCGTCCGCATACGCCACTAGCAGATCATTCCCGCACACTCTTTCGAGTCTGCACACTAGTGGATGCAGGTAAAGAACGAAGAGATGCATTGATAGCGGATCCCCTTGCCGTACAGAGCGTTGAATTTCGAACGGACGAGAAAGGTGCCCATTGATCAACAGCCGAGAGGTGGACCGGCTGGCGATTCGCGAGAGTAGAGAGATGAGATCCTGGTTGAAGCCGAGCGAGCGCATGGTTTCGAAGAGAAAAGAGTGCCGGACCCGATCGAAAGCGTGATCGAGATCAAAGCTGATTAACTTCCCGGCACGGCGGTGGTGGCGGAGATGTGCTATCCGGTCCTTGAGAGCAAGAGTGGCTTGAAATATGTTGTGCTCTGAGTTGGAGCATTTCTGCCCGTCGCTCAAGACGTGGTGCTCTCTCATCACTTGCTCGAGTCTGGTTTTGAGAATGCGGGAGAAGAGCTTGTAGTCGCTGTTGAGCAGCGAGATCGGACGATATGAACGGGCTGTGTCGTCGCCGCCTCTCTTCTTAACCAGCACGATGATGCCATCAACAAACGCTGGAGGAAGATTACCGCTGAGTGCTTCATTCAGCAACAGATTCAACTCTCGGTGGATGACGTCGAACATGCGGTGTTAGAACTCTCTCGGAATACCATCGCAGCCGGGAGATTTTCGTGGGGCGCTCGCTTTTATTGCAGACCAGATTTCTGCCGTCGTAATGTCGTCCGTGCAGGCTTCATTCGATGTGTCGTTGGGTGGGATAACACTCTCGCAGACGAAACTGTTCTCATTCTCTTCTGTTTCCTCCTCCGAGTACAGCGTCGAGAAGTAGTCCATCATATGCGTCTCGATCGCTCGTGGCTCTGCTACCGTTTCGTCTTGCTCTGTCTGCAGCTGCGTGATGACGGTTCTCTTCCTTCGCCTCTCCCCCAATTGGAATATTGACATGGGTTCTCCCGCCACATGTGTTTCATTCATTCGCATGAACGTGTAGGAAAATCTCCGTTGAAGTGCTAGCATTTCACCTTTCAACCGGTTTATGGTGGTTATCATTTCAGGGTGCTGGTAGTACCCGTCGTAGGCTAACCGAAGCTCGCTGTAGAGATATTGATGTTCACTGTGGAATTCATCGAAGACGGCTCGAGATTTCCACTTGAAAAAGCATTTGATCTTGGGCTTAGCGAACAAAATCCACCATTCGATCCAGGAGCCATAGTTTCTGCGCTGCCGGGTCCAATATTGCCACTGGTATTGGAACTCGGCAACGTTCTCGTCACTCAGAAGATAGGGCCGAAGGGACCAAAATCCACGGCCATGCTCTTGACCAAGATGGGGGAGACAAAGTCGGAGTACCAGCGCTTTGTGGTCGGTAAATGAGCAGACGTGTGCATGTGCTGCTCGCAGGTGATCGCGCAAATCACTGCTGACGTAAATACGATCGAGTCGCGACTGTGCGTTACGGCAGACGTACGTGAAACCTGGATCACGCGGACACAGTTTCTCCCATACGTCGTGGAGCTGCAGTTTCTGGACGGCTGTTTTGAGGGCGGGACTAGTGTTTGGGCTGCTAGAATCACTTGTTCGAAGCACGCAATTGAAATCGCCGGCCAGAATGACATGCGTGGTACGATGGCGGAGATAATAGGCAAGCGTCCCATTGAAAAAGTTCTCCCGAGCTGCACGTAGCGAAGAGCCGGAGGGAGCGTAAACATTACAGATCGTTGTGTCTTGCACTCTCAGCGCAAGCAGTCGGCCGTCCAAGCTTCTCTCGATGTGAGTGGCCTGGATGTGTTCCTTCAGGGCAATAGCTGTTCCCCTTCTCGTATGGTCCACATTGAAGAAAACGACGTAGCCAGGCAAGGAGAGCTGCTCGTTCTCTACTTCTTGTAGACACACGATATCGAGGCTATGGCTGTTTATGAAGCTTCGGAGCGCGTTCAGTTTCGTGGGGTTCGTGATGGTGCCGATGTTGATGGACGAGATGTTGTACGACGTGAGAGCCATTTATAAGCGATTGTCCTCGTCCCTCTCGTCGTCGTCGTCATCCCGGCGGGGTTTTTTGCCGGCTGGTTTTCCTCGGCTTCGTCTACTGCTCGTGGAAGCGGAGGATTCATCGGTTTCGTTCCCGTTGCCGCTTCTGCTCTGCGATCGCAGCGCATTTTCTGGCTTTTTGAACACGTCATCCAAAGCCACGACAGCTTGTGGTGGTGTTAGGAACGAACTTGACACATTGTGCGTTCGTTGTACTTGCGCAGACCCTGCTGCAGGCTGGCTGCGTGTGTGTGTTTTCGGGCCTGAGAATTCACTCTGGCTCTTCGGCAGTTCGGGGAAAACGTCTGACTCTAACGATGACGGAGTAGTGGATTTTTGACCGACTAGTTTCGTGTTTGGTGGTTTCGCACCAGTTTTTTTGGGTTGCTGACCGGCTGTTGACCTATTGGCCTGTCCAGTTTGCTTCGTGACATTCGCGTAGCTTTTCTGGTACAGTAGCTTTTTGTTCTGGACACATGATATGCCAGTGTGCGCTTGCTCTTTGCAGTAGCGGCAGGATTGCAGCTGTCCCTTGTAAACAACGAACGCTTGCTCTCCATCGACGGTGACCCACGAGTCAATGTTCCGCTTCACTAGCATACGAGCAGACCATATGCCGAGCGGTATGCCTTCACATTCGTTACTCTCACCCCACGATACCTCGTGAACTGAGATCACTTCCCCGAACGCACTTAGGAAACTAAAGACTTTCTCTTCAGACACATATTCGGGAAGGTCGTAAACCCGCACTTCAACACTACCATCTTCCAACGTGATCCGAAGCTTGTGTTTCTTCCCCTCACACTCCACTTCATGCTTCCCGTCATGTTCGTCAACGACTTTTTGTGCCAGCGTCAAGTCACTGACTTTGACGAAGGCACATGCTCCACCTCTGTGGCACTGAAGTCTTTTAATGTCTTCCCTATTTAGACCGAGAACCGAACGACAAAAACCATAGAGTTTTTCGACCGACGGCTTGACGGAGAACTGCGAATAGTCAATCTTAAAAGTGTTTTCTCGCCTCATCGCGAAACACTTTTGCACGCGACGCGGCGCAGCGGATAGAAGGGTATCCAAAACGTAAATGCTTCACTAGTGATAAGCGCAATCGAGAAAAACGTCTGCACGTCTCAGAAGCTGAGCGATAACTAACTTCTTGGTACGGTAGCAGTTGGACCTCGGTTAAGCAGAAATACACCAGTCAGCATTCCTTCTCCCCACATTGCTTTAGGTACACTCGAGTCCGGTTGTATCTCTCCGCTATCCCGTTTTGCTGCGGAGAATACGCTACTGTAGATTCTATCTGAATTTCCTTGGTCTTCTAAAATTTCCCGAGCAGTATTCACGGCCTTGATCCACTGTCAGCTTGGAAATCGTTCACCCGATCATCCTTAAACCATAGAGGTAACTGTAAGACTAGTAGCATAGAGGTAACTCTAAGACTAGAAGGTTCCGAAGAAACGTGCTCAACTTTTTGGCTCAGCTCTGGTACTATCTTCGGTCCCAATCGATGCACCGAAAATCCACGAACCCCTCATTTTATCTGTCAAACTTTCATAGTGAATCGAAACAAACATAGTGTAGTACTAGAATTTTGACTAGAATGGGATACGTTAATCGACTGGCTGGGGACCAATAGGCTAGTCAAGTAGTGAGCCAATTTAAAATCGTTAGTTTCCACCGGTTGCTTAAACGTTCTGAACTCTTCTTCTTCAAGAGAAACGCCATCACAGAGTGGGAGTAGTCATCAATGTATGTAACAACGTAGCGATATCCGTCCCACGTCGCTGGCTCAATAGGAGCAAAGACGTCAGAATGTATACGTTCAAGGGGTCGTACCGCTCTGTTCGTGTGCCACTGAACGGTTCCCGGCACTGTTTTCCTTGAACAGGTATTACAGAAGCCCAACTTTTCTGGCTTGAAATACACACCGAGCGCAAGATCCTCTCGTAGCATCGCTCCCACTTGCCCCTACTTGGAATCGCACATGTTGACCTCACACTGTCTAACATCGAATTCCAGCTCGTATAGGTTTCCTCGGAGATAGGCAGTAGCAATTCCTGTTTTTCTCTCGCTTGGAAACAGCACTGTCAGCCATAAATAAAACGAACTTCGAACAGCTGCCATGTTTGCGTTGCCTTTAGTCTTCTTGCAGTCCTTCTTCCACATTGATGGCACATTCCGTTATACTTGCCGAACTTCTTCAGTTTGTCTCCGGCAAACGCAGTAGACTTCTCCTCTGAATTCTGCATCCGATCACACCACTTCGACTCTTCGTTGATCAATCGTGACTTCCTCAGCTCGTATATCATATCCTGCTCCGAAAGATTCTCTACCGCCGTCACAAGCGGGTCGTCAGCCATTCGAAGTTGACGAATCAAGTGTTCGAACTCCAGGAGATGAGCGCGCATCGACGCGCAATCTGCTTCCTGATAAGAGTCTGCTTCCCTGCTGACTTTTTTTTTTCAAACCAGCATTGCCTTCGCTTTTCGGTTCATCTCTTGGAATTTCACCGCTTGAGCCGCTTCTGCAGGCGCTTCCTTGATGACCGCATCCCAGGAATGGCTTCCAAGTAGACCTTCACGAGAAACTTCCAGGTGTCATAGTTTTGACCAGCGGATTGTGGAATTCCGTGTCTTGAAACTTCCTTTCGTGAGTCGCCCATAACCCGTTGAGGGTCCCGAGAACAGTTTATTAAATAGGGGAAAAGTTGGCTTCGGTAATACCTTAACCTATTATCGTCAGGAGGTAAACAAAGTCCTAGAGCACTCAAATTTGGCCAATAGTTGCTCTGAAACACAATGTATCACATGCCAAACACATGCCAAAATTGAGCTCTCAAGGACGTTGTTTACCCCCTGACGATAATAGGTTAAGGTATTGCCGAAGCCAGCTTTTCCCCTAGGTCTATTCAGCTTGATTGCTTGATAAGGAATGAATAAAATTATAGTTCAAACATCTTCATAGCCGGCGCTGGTGGTGTAGTGGTAAGCGTGACTGCTTTCTAACACCCCAATGGGTCTGGGTTCAATCCCAGCCGAGGTCGGTGGGATTTTCCTGAGGCATAAAAATCTCTGGTCACGTCTTCCTTCGGAAGGGAAGTAAAGCCGTTGGTCCCGGCCCCTGTGTGGGTGCTGCCTCCCTGCCATCCATTGACGGCAATCGATGTCCGTCGGTGATTGGCACTAGATTGCGGAACAGAGACCGACGTTAAATAAAGGAATGAAGGCTACTGTGATAGCTGGCTTCATATAATGATTGCTTCGTTTCTCAACATAGATCCAAAGCTCAAAATTTTTTTTAATAGAATTTCAAGCTAGTTTGAACATAGTTTCAAGGGAATCTCTAAGAGAATTCCTAAGAAATTTGTGGGAATTTCTACACGAGTTGCCGGGAGGGTCTGGCAGGAAACTTTATGCATATTTCCAAAGAAACTCTGATTAGTCTTCCAGCAGATTCGGATAACATTTCCAAGGGAATTCTAAGGAGAGTTTCAAAAGAATTCCAATCAAACTCAAAGAGATCATCGCTAGGGCATTTTGGGAAGAATTTTAAGAAAAATCTGAGGATAATTCTCAAGAAATTCTGAGGGGATATGCAAGAAAATTTTGGTATAATAGTATTCTAAATTCTAAATGGCATACCAAAAGATTTCCGCGGAATATTCTTAGCGAATTGTTAAGAAAATTTTGGCGAGAAATTAACGCAAATTTTTGAACATTGGAATACGAAGATAAATGTAGAGTAGAGTTCAAGAGTTTTCTGGAGGGAATTCCTTAAGTGTTTTGTACATAGTTCCAAGACTGTTATGAAGAAAATTTCCTAGAAAATGATTAGGTTAGATAACGCCTAATCATTTTTCTTCTCAACATTGATGTTTGCAGCATATCTGAGATATGACACAAACATCAAAACGGCCAGGCCTACCATAGAAGTAGCTTTAAGACTAGAAGGTTCTGAAGATACGAGCTCAACTTTTGGCGAAGCTCTGGTACTATCTTCGGTCCCAAGCTAATCAATTCACCCCTCGAAACATAGGAAAATCCACTAACCCCTCATTTTATCTGTCAAACTTTCATAGCGAATCAAAACAAACATTGTGTAGTACTAGAATGTCGACTAGAATGGGATACGTTAATCGTTTGCTTGGGACCAATAGGCTAGTCAAGTAGTGAGCCAATTTAAAATCGTTAGTTTCGTATTGATGGTTGGGCCTACTGCGTTACATTTGCCGCAAAGATGATTCTGCAAAATGATTCGAGTTTGAATAAATATATTTAAACAGCGATGCATTTCGAGAATCGGCATGGGCGGAAGGATGCCCCGATTTAAGCATTTAATTCTAATTATTGAACTTTGGACCAATGGGTCAGTCAAATAATGGATCAATTTAAATTTAAAATTCGTATTGATTGTTGGTCAAACGTTAAAAAAATCCACTTCTTTTCCGACAATTCTAGTACTGCAAAATCCACTTACCCAACATGCAGGTGGTGAAAATCTCATAATCTTTCATCGATTTTCGTTCCAAGTTCGACCGTTTGATCCAGGAAAAGCCGAACAGTGATCGGTAGGTGAATATTTGTTGAAACACCGAAAAAACTGTCTGATCATCCTTCAGTTTCTTCCGTAGGAATGACACCTGCAATCCAAATTGCCTGTTACTAATTTCGCAGTTTGTGATTTTCATTTTCGATAAACATACATACTGATCTCGGCTTCGCTTGCTATACCGAATGTGCGCTTCCAAATCCTCTATGGCGCGTGCGTTGTTGATTGGAAATAGAAATCCGGCGGCATAGTCTGATGTCATCCCATGGTGATATATTCGATGCGGCATCTCCGTCAGCAAATCTACGATTAGAACATAGAGGGGCTGTAGTACTAGAATGAAGTGGAACAATTTCGCCCAAGAGCCAAACATTCTAATACAGCATTTCAAAAATCAGTTTTATTGTTGACAAAGTGTGGTTGGAAACCGAATTCAATACAAGTCAAATGAGAAAATAAAAATGATAATTCACAGACAAACGGATGTCAGATGTTATTTGTCGTTCGAACGGAGTGTTGTTCTAGTAAGGATGTCCCATGAACTGCTTGTGTGAGGACTTTGCCCGGAAGTTGCGCACGTTGTTGCGAACGTAAATTCGTTTCACAATGCTCGCCATGCTCATGGTTATGTCCTCCTTTGTGATTCCGTGGCTACTCCAGGCTTCTGTAATGGAAAAAAAAGTAAATAATTTAGTGTGGCTAATGTAGGGATGCGATTTGACATCCGTTTTTGGTAACATGTGATTTTTGTTTTCGTTACTCTGCTGTGCTGAATTCAATTCAAAATCTGTTATATGCTAAATTTAAAGAATTAAGAAACAATGCGTATTGAGGACCCCAACAACTATGCAAAATTTAAACGAATTTGGTTATACCATAGAGATAACTCTAAGATTAGAAGGTCCCGAAGAAACGTGCTCAACTTTTGTTTCAGCTCTGGTACTTTCTTCGGTCCCGAGTTAATCGATGCACCCCTCGGAAAATCCACGAGCCCCTCATTTTATCTGTCAAACTTTCATAGCAGATCAAAACAAACATAGTGTAACACATCACAAACATCAGAATTTCGACTAGAATGGGGTACGTTAATCGATTTGCTTGGGACCAATAGGCTAGTCAAGTAGTGAGCCAATTTAAAATCGATAGGTTCATATTGATTGTTGGTTATACTCTCGATTTGCCGCTGAATTTTAAAAATTGAGTTTCTGGGTAATATATGACATGCGGATTCGAAAACCGATGAAATCACAGCTTAAGAGGCTCGGTGTCCTAGTGGCGACCGTTTTTGGATTTATCCCAAACCTTTGGAGTTTGGTAGGTTCGCATCAACAGATCGTGTGCCAATACGTACCGAGCATGCAGTCCGTGAAGATCAGAAACTTTTGCAGTGATTCCCGCTGCATGTGAGGGTGGGAAGCCTTTTGCGACGCCCAGCTAAAGTGCCGGAAGATGGCATCGTCGGTGCAAATTTTGCAGAACGTATCCACCACGCTGTTCCGAGGAGATTTGATGCGTCTCAGAAACTTGATCTGCCAAATGAAAAAAACTAAAATTTGAGAAGTACTAGAATAGGAGCTAGAAATGACTTACATATTTGCGTCTGGTGTTCGGATCGGTTCGAACGGATTCCTCCAGTTTGATTACGGCTTTCGATTCGGTCAACGGAAACAATAGAGCAGGTGAAGGCTTTCCCCGTTTGCGACCTGGAAGAATAGTAAAAATTTACAGAATTAGCTAATTAATAAAAAAAAAATCATACTGTGTAATTGCAGAGTGCTCCAGTTAAAATTGTCTGTGTTTTTATTATTATTATTATTATTCAAAATCATCATCGTCTAAATAAATCACACTCTCGCTGATCTTCTGCTCGCGAACCCGATCCCTATAGCGCCGGAATCGCTTCCGTCCGTGTAGATTGCGAACGATTTTTCCCAACATTGAACGGATCTGGGCAGCGGTGACGCCGTACTGCGTCCAGGCCTCTGTAAAAAAAAAACACAAACCAAGATTAGGATCTGCGATTCTATGTTTTCACTTATAAGCATTATAGGCAGTTTACCGAGCAAACAGTTGGTGAAAATGGCATAGCTCTTCATGGCTCGCTTTTTCGTCCGCCTGCTGTTGCAAAATCCATTGTAGTTATAATCGCTCAAAGCCTCGTCGTAGAAAACGGACTTGAAAATGCTCTCGATCGGTTCGTCCGGTTTCTTCATCCGCTGTAGAAATGATATCTGAAAATGATGGCACGCATCAGGTAAAATTTGGTAGTACTAGAATGAATGGGGGACTGCGTTCTTATTTACAAATTTCTGTCGCGTCTCTGCACTCGTCCGTACGGCTTTCTCCAATCGTTCGATGTCGCTTTCAGTTTCGATGGGAAACCGGAACCCAGGGACACTTGATGCCTGTTCGCGAAAAACTACCGAAGGTTGGTAGGCTTTCGCTTTGTTTGCGGGCCATTTTATATTCTTGGTACGCTTCTGTTTGGTAATGAGTAAGGTGGTTGTTATTGAGCCTGTAAAATGGAAATAAGGATGTGTGATTAATGTTTGGCCATGTTGGTTTTCTTATTCTAGTATGAAACCTAACAAACAAAGTAGTTTTTTTTTATATGGAAACAGTATTTTATTGAAGTCTTTTAACGGCAAGCAGATGGTGACCTTTCGGAATGATCTGGAATGGTTTCAGCGTTTGAATAATCGAAATTCTGGTACTGCAGAAATGATTGATTCATTCTTGACTACATCTGGGTGGGATGATTTGTGAATTTCTGTAACAAGGGTTAATGTTGTAGTACTAGAGCAAACGCAATCACATCTTTGCCGAACTGAATTGTCGTGACTCACCGATTTAATACTGTGGTTTGTGCCTTCTTTGGATTCCTTTTTTTCCTAATTCGATCTTTATATTTACGATTTCGTCTTCTGCGGTTGATATTTTTGATAATTTCCGTCAACATGGCCCGAACCATATCATCAGTGACCCCGAATTCCTGCCAAGCCGCTGCAACAAAAAAGAAGAAAAGAGCGTTCGAGGGTGTGCAGGGTTGTGTCGGAACCGCAACTACCTACCGAGAAAGCAGTCCCTAAAAATGGCGTAGCCCTTCATGGCTCGTTTCTTAACGTTCGGAACATTGCTAAGCCCGTTGTAGTTGTAATTGACCAGGGCTTCGTCGTAGAAAACCGACTGGAAGATGCGCCTTATCGGTGCATCTGGTTTCTTCGAATCTCGCAGGTATTTTATCTGCAATTTAGAATCGGTTAGTACTAGATTATGCGATTATCAACTCCAAGAAGTTTAACCTACATAACTGCTTCGCGTGTGCATATCGCCTCGAACGGCGGCCTCCAAACGTTCTACTTCACCTTCCGATCTGATGGGAAAGCGAAATCCCATTACTCCCAGATATTCTACTGCCGCTGTTAGCAGTACATCCGATTGGTCAAGCTCGAGGCTCAACTTCCGAACTCGAATACGCAGCTCTGAAATGATTGAAGAATGGTGAGAAGTTACACTTGACATCTGACGGAAATTAGTTTGTTATGAACTATGGATATGGATGGTAAAAAATGGTTCTATCAAATCAGTCTAACTAACAAATTCGAGTTTATTGAATAATAAATAGCCCGACGTATTATCGTTGGTGAAATTTGCCAAATAAGGTAATTTTGACGCTCGTATGCAATGCTAGATTGATAGCCAGTTTACGGTGCAAAATTCAGATTAAGCAACTTCATACAGCTCTACTTCGCCGGCAGCAGCATCATCATCATCGTCCAGCAGTACAACATTCACAGGTTTCCTCCGATATCCACGGCTGCGCAGTTTGTGATTCAGTCGAGCAATAACCTTTACGATTGAGATTCGCAGGACTTCCTCGTTGACTCCATGAGTATGCCAAGCGTCTGCAATTAATTGAGTAACAGCTACATGAGTACGAGAAATCACTGAGATTTTGATAAAATACGGGATCCGTTTTTAGTAAATGGTACACTGAATTGCAGTGATGTATTTATTAGGGTGGTTCAAAATATCGATTTTGATGTTAATTCTAAATCAGGTCCTGATCATTCTCCCAAAACTTGAGTTTATTTGGATGCGAACTCATACTGCACTGACTTTCAAGTTTATATGGGAATTACTAAGGGATAAATGAACTTTATGTTCCGAAGGTCCTACAACTTCGCCATAATAATTTACAGAAAAGCTTCCCAACTTCGCCATAATAATTTACAGAAAAGCTTCCCATCTGCTCATATGTGATATTTTATCAGCTACAACTTTGCTGAATACCACTTCTTGATAAGACTTTAAGGTCATTAGTTATTAATTGATTTCGAAGCCAATAACTTTCTGATATGATTAATCGACTGCTTACACGGCAACACTGCATCTTGCACTTATGACATAGTAGCCTGGATTTTTAGCCCTATTATTCGCCCCAAGCATAACCAATGTTGCCTGCTGAGCAGTTTATGGAGCATGTCAGAAGAATATCATCTTCCTAATTAATTAATAACTAACTATCCTGACGTTCAACCCGAATGCAATCTTCAGCACAGTTGCAAATAGCAAACTTTCCCGCAGATCATTACAGCGAAGGATTGGAACGATGAGAACATCCAATTGAGCTCAAATTTTGGGAGAATTACCAGGACCTGATTTGAAATCGATTAAGCTTGGTGGAGCAAAATCGACTATTCATGTTATGAAAGAAAGCGACTAATGACTCAATAATGCGAAGGGACCTAAGATTAAACTCACAATCTTCTGCTCAGTAAGCAAAAACGGTCCCGCTAAGGCCACCGAGCCCCATCATATTACAACACACTATTTATGTATGTGCGAGTTGTTTGAAGGCTCCTATACATACTACATAACCTTAAGTCGAAGTACCTGATGCTCTTACCAATCATGCAGTCAGTGAAGATGATATACTTCTTCATTGCTTTCTTCTTCTTCGCTCGGTTGGTTTTGCCGTAGTAGTTGTAACCGAGCAGCGCTTCGTCGGCGAACAGGTCGGTGAAAACGTTGGCCAGATCTTGGCGGAAGAGTTTGACATTTTGAAGGAAGGCCACCTGTGGGGGGGGGAAAAGACAAAAGCATTAGCATTTGTTTGGATATGAATACCAGTAGGCTAAACTTCGGTTCATCGCAGTTAGGCTACAGAGAAAATGGCGTCACAGTGGTTCCCAAGGAGATAAATTGGGCCACTACTCCGGAACTAAGGCCACTTGAGGAATATTGGTCAATTGTGAAGCACATACTGAAGAAAAAGAGTGGAACTGCAATTGACATGAATCGTGCAAACGATGATGGGCTGTGTACGAAGAAAAGTACGAACGATGACCTATGGTAAGAAGGAAGACTGAAAAAATGGTCTTACAATAAGCATACTAACGCATTTCTAAACTCCAACAAGATTTTCGTCGTACCCCACCATGCTTGTTTCACTGTTTTCGTTCACAAATAAGAATTGGGAGGCGATAATAACGAAACTCTTTGCTGCATTACATAGGATTAGGCAGTAAACGTCTTTAATTTAAACGATAATATGAATCTAAAACAGATACCAGTAGATAGGGTAATTTGAAACGTGACTGCTATTTGTTACACTCAGATATTAAAAGTAAGGCAAACTCCATGTAGTTTCTACAATTTTCCAGGTATTCAAATAGAAGCCCTGAAGATTCCGTAATTTTTCTGGACGTTCTCGGAACTACTATGAAGTTTACGTAACGTCCTTAACAATCTCTAACCGAGATGACCTAGCCTATGGCTAAAAATCTCGGTAACAAACATTCGTAAACTTATCTGGACTTGCCTGAAGTTCTCTTCTCAAAGTTCCCATCATTTTCCTGGAGTCAATAGAACTGCCTTAAAATTCTTTCGACGCTTTCAAAACTACACTGATGCTCACGGAACTTTCCTTAAACTAATTGTAGTTTCCTGACTTTGTCCGAACTTCACTAAAGTTTCCTCAATTATTGTAATGATCATGGGTCTTCTCTTGAGATTAACCCAAATTTAAAACTGCCTTGAAGCTTACGGCACTTCATTTAAAATGTTCCCGCATTTTCTTAATGTTTATGAAACTTTCCAGATGTTCTCGGAGTTTCTCTGAAGTTCTAGGATATTCTGTAACATTTTCTAAACTGCTTTGAAGTTTCCGAAATTTTCTTGGAGTTCTCAAGTTTTCCTGAAATTTCACAACATTCCTGGTGTAATTTAGACTTCACTGAAATAAGAACACAGAACACTATTGTCCTGAAGTAAGAACGAAATAATAAATGTAGCTCTTAGATTTTCAACGAAGTTCTCGACATTATTATGAACTTAATGGAACTGTCCTTAAATTATTGAAACTAATTCTTCAACATCTTAAAACTTTCCCAAAATTCTAGACTGTCCTGTTGTTTAATGTTCTTTCCTGAAGTTAATAGAACTGCACAAAAGATCTCCGAACTTTGCTAAGTTCTCCGACTGAACTTGTCGGTGATTTTTAAAAGTTCCGCAATTTGCTGTAATTTTAATGAAGTTTTGAAAATTTCTTTGAAACTCTCGAAATTTTCCCTAAAATCTATTATTTTATCTGAACTTTTCTGAACTTCCCTGAAGTTTTTGGTACTTCTTTGATGTTGCTTATATTTGTCGGAAGGCAATTTTCCTGATATTCGCACCCTACAATGTTCCGAAAACTTGAAACATTCCTGAAATTTTTCGGAATATCTCATATTTCCTCGGAACTCTTTGAAAGTTCCTACATTTTTTTCTGAAGTGAATGGGACTGCTCTGAAGATCTCTGTGCATCCTCGAAGTACTCAAAACTTCCCTGAATATGATGAAACTGTCCTAAAATATCTAATATTATTTGAAGTTCTCTAAACTTTCTTGAAAAGATTTAGGAACATCTTAAAAGTTCTTGCAATTTTCTTGAAATTAATGAAACTGCCTTGAAGTTCTCTGATCTTCGCTGAAGTTCCTGGTATTTTTTTTCAAGTTCTCGAAACTACCACAAAAATCATAGAACTTCCCTTAAAATGTTCTCACATTATCCTGATGTTCAAGTAACTTCCTAAACGTTTCCGACATTTTCCTGAAGCCCTCGGAGCTTTGCGGAAGTTTTGGAAAATTCTGGAACACCTATTCAAAGTTCCAGCAACTTCCTTAGATTCTCTGATCTGTCCTGATGTTCACAGAGCTTCCCTGAAGTTCTTTCAACTCTCCTAAAATTCTTCGTACGGTCCTGACATGAATTACAAACTGTCCTGAAAACCTTTAAAATTGCCTGAAGTTCTTTGAACTTCTGTGAAATTCCGAAATATTACTGATGTTTTCTTAAGTTCTCTGGAGTTCTCTGGATATTTCACGAAATTTTCTAGAAGCTAACGGATCTTAAAATTATTGGAATTTACCGTGATTTACCCTTACTGATGTGGACTTTCATAATTTTTTTGTAACTTCCCTGAAATCATTGGAACCACCCTTAAGATCTCTGGCAATCCCTTAAGATTTCTAGACTTAGGTTCTCTGAACTACTTGGAACTTCTTTAAAGACTCAACAACTAAGCACAAGTTCTCATGACTTCCCTAAAATTAACTGGATATCCCTGAAGTTCGTAAAGCTTCTTCAAAGTTCCTGCAGTTTTGCTGAAGCTAATAGAACCGCCTTGAAGTTCATTAAGCTTCTTCGAACACGAAGTTAGTGGAACTACCATAAAGATCTCCAATCTTTCCTGATATTCATGAAACTTCCCTTAACTTCTCGCTATTCTCCTGATCATGTTCCTGAAATTGCCCTGAAATTAATGGAACTGCCCAAAAGATCTTTAAACTTTTTTGAAGTTCTCTGGCCTGCCGGTCTGCCAGGAAATTCTGGGATCTTCTATCAAGTTTCCTTAAATTTTCCTTAAGTTTACTAAACTTCCTTAAAGTTCTTTGGACTATCCTTAAATTTTTGGAACTTATTAAAGGTTTCCGCTATTTTCCTAAAATTAATGGAACTGCCTTAAACTTCTCAAAATTTACGTAGACTTAAAGGGTCACTAGGACAAATTGTAAATAGTGAGAGATTAATTATTAAGAACTGAATTAAGAAATTATTTTAGAAATCTTGAACTTGAATACAAAAGAGGTATAGGAAACAAGAAAATATGTTAACAATCGGTAGTCTGTAATAATAGAAATCTCATGATTCACGATATTTTTTTTGTCATTTCCAAGATCCCATATTTTCACTGGAAATTTTCAAAGCCTTGGGGCTTCGAAGAATTTCCAGGGTTCTAAAAACTGAAAGCACAGATAAACAACCTCCTTCACCTTTTTCGCATTTCAAGCTTATTGCTTATCGCATATTAGCTTATTGCGTGCTCTTAACTTAGTGTTCTAGATGCACTTCCACAGTTATTAATTGAGAGTTTTCGATGCCTGTACCATTTTTACATTGGTATAATTGTGTGGCAAGTACAATCATGTATGCCCAGGGAAGTCGAGAAATTTTCCTACCCGATAAATTCCTAGAATGGACCGGGAATCGAACAAAGCCACATCCAGCATGGTCCTTGTAGCTGCGCCTTTACCTACTGAGCTAAGAAAGGCCACAGATAAACAGACATAACTCATTGAATAATTCTCACTGTAAAACATAGCCACTAAAACACTACCGCCATCTGTTGAGTACATTGTGACGGGCAGTACACTCAACAGATGGCGGTAGTGTAAACTTCAAACGTAAAGAAATTGACTATGCGCGCCATAGGTAAAATACTACCACCGACAAACCGACATGACACTTAATTTTGACTTATTCCCGAAAATCGTAAACGGCCCATTTAAATGTGCAGTGATCCGAACTGTCAAAACCATAGGATTTTTTGATCTAGATAAAAATAATTAGTCCTAAATAGATCAGACACGAAACACAATTCATAACTTTTGAATGCGGGTTCATGGCTTAGCTAAATATTTCCCACGAACACGGAGCCAGACGTCAGTAGTGTGCTGTGGTCAGAAATTTGATTATTTTTGCTATCTTCATTTATGTCGGTTTGTCGGTGGTACTACCATATACTACCATCTAAGAAACATTTAAATTGATCGTTAAATGAGTTTTCGATGAACAACTTGCGAGTTTTATGTCTGTTTGTCTGTGCTGAAAGATTTTTTTTTTATGAATTCTGTCGATGGTTACAATTTTTGAAGTTTTACTAAAAATAACTGGGGAAGTTCTTAAGGAGTTCTCCGATCTGAGACAAACATACTACTATGGTAAACCTGTAGAACTACAAATTCCAGAGAACTTCGAGATTTGGGCGTAATTGCTTTTGTAAACAAACACGTCAATCGCTGATTTCTTGCGAATAAAAGCTCAATCTCGCAAACAAACTATTCCAAATGACAGAGGAATCATTCTTCTACATGATTAAGCTGTTAGTTTTCGAGGCTGAGTGTTTAATCACGAGAAATCAGTGATTGAAGTGTTTGTTTACAAAATCAATTACGCCCAAATCTCAAATCACTCCGGAATTCTTGACTTCAAAATGGGTTAAAATAAACAATGCCTTGTAGAACTTCTAGAAGATATTTTTCTTATACAACGACGCATATGCTTCTTCATATTTCAACCAGCTCAAATTGTTTGTCAGCCTCGATAATGTACTTACATATTGATCTCGAATTTCCTGATTTTCGCGCACGTTCCATTCCAAGCGATCGACATCGTCTTCCGATTGCAGAGGGAAGATGAATCCCTCGACAGCTGATTCGAAATGTTCCTTGAGTCGCCGGGCTTGAGGGCGCTTTTTAGTCTCGCCGGCCAAGCGTTCACTTTGCCCGTGTGGTTCCTTGATTAAGACTGAAAAAAAGATATCTTCGTTAGTGAAAAGTAGGATAATTCCATCCGTTTTTCAATACCATAGCGAAACAATGTGGTACTAGAGCTTTTTTTTATTCACTGAATTTAATTCTACTTCGTGATTTACAAAATTAATCAAGATAAATTTAAGTCAACCATCTTTTCCTTCAAATACCTAAATTTTACTTTTACGCGAGTTGGAAACTTTAATCATCTCTCTCGTTCCATGATGCTTTGACTTATATACATATTAGAGAGCATAACCATTCAGAACGAAATGAAAGATCAGACTTATCTATTCGACACCCCGAAGGTCACTTTTTGCGCGGATTGGAATTTCTCTGCTTGCTGCGGAATCGAGCTCCACGTTTCCGGTTGTTGATCAGCGTGATTGCACTGCAAATGTACTGCCGAAGCTCTTCGGCGGTCTGCTGACCACCCCAGGCCTCTAAAACATGGAAACTGTTATTCGGGACAGTTTTACTTTGAAGCCAAAAAAAAAGGTTTACCATTGATGCATTCCACGAAAATGCAGTAGTCCTTCATGGCCTTTTTCTTCGATCCGGAAAAGTTGCACCGTCCGCTGTAGTTGTAATCGAGCAGTGCCTTATCTTTGAACAGCTTCAGGAAGGCAAACGTAGGCCGTTCGGCGAGGTCACGCTGCTTGCGCAGCAATTCAACCTGAATGTACAATCGAATCAAACAAAATGTAGTACTAGATTGTACCAATGCAATGAGTGCAACCTACGTATTGCTTTCTTACGATGGAATCCTTTCGAACGACATTTTCCAGTTGTTCGACCATCTCTGGCGATTTCAGTGGAAACCGGAAGCCGTCTACGGTTTGGGTCAGAGAAAATTGCTCCTCTTCGGTGTTCTCGTCGTCTTCTTCTATCACTACTTCCGTTGGCCGCCGAGCTGGTCGGATCGTGTACTGCTCGGGGCTTTCCGAGCACACGCTATCTATGAAGAATATTTCTGCAATAGAGTAAAAGTTGTTAGCATAATAGAACGTTCCGTTTCCACACAGCAAATAATAGTAGGTAAGCAAAACAATGAAACATTGGTAGTTGATAATCGTTCTTTTATTCGACATAGCGTCAAGTTTCCGATGCAGACTTTTTCTTATCGGATAGATTTTTCGTCAATCTACGCCTACGAATTCTTTGGATTGCTTGTTTGATTCCTTCCTCGAGGGCTTTCTCGTCGATTCCTTGGCATTTCCAGGCATCTGTGAAAGACGACATCCGTTAAAATGAAATCAAAGCCAAACAGACGTAACCTCAAAACCAAGTGAGCGATTTTCAAATTAACTGCTATTACTTACCGAGCATACAGCCATTGAAAATGGAATAATTTTTCATTGCTTTCTTGGGAAACTTGGTCATCCGACAGCCGGCCCATGTGTATCCGTTCATGGCGGTTGCATCATAAAGCATTGGAAAACTGTCCACCACTTCGATATGTTGTTGCTTTTTCACTTTTAAAAGTTGAACCTAGAATAAATGCATCTGAATGTGTCAATCTAGTACTACACTGGCAACCAATACTCACATATTGCTCCCTGAGGCCAACATTCGAATTGACTGCAACTTCCAGTCGCTCAACGTCTCGCTCGGATTTCAGGGGAAACACAAATCCCTCAACGATTGGTCGCCGGGATGATACTTTCACCTGCGGCTGCTGCCGCCGACGTTGGCTGAAAAGCTGATCCAGTTTGGTCAATTCCAGTTTCAATTTTTCCATATCCCTTGCTGGTGGTTGATGGTCTTCTGAAACATACCCAATTATTCCCATTTAATAATCGACATTCTAGTACTGTAAATTGAAAATATCCGAACTATCAAAATCAAAGAGTTCCGATTTGGTTTTAAAATTTATTGGGCAAAACTTTTTCAAGATTTCAACTTTCGATTCTCTTCCAGGAGCTTCATCTGGATAAGTATCGACCGCTTTCGGCGATTCCGACTGGACAACTGACGCCGATCGTTCAGGCTGGTGATCACACTTTTCAGCAGGTCAGTCAAACCATGCACTGTTAAACCTTGCGACATCCACGCCTCTGCAGAGACAAATATGAAGGATTAATATGTGCAGTACTAAAATAGGCGACGGATTTACACTTTACCAAGCATACAGTTGGTGAAAATGTCATAGTCTCCCATGTTCTTTTTGCTAGTATGACCACCATCGGCTTCTACCAGACAATAATTGTACATCGAAAGATCACTGAACAGTTCGCTGAAATATTTGGCAAATGAGCTGGGCTGATACTTCCCCTGGAATGCCAAATGTCTCACCTGAAAGGGTCAACAATGAGTTGAGTTAACGTATTATCAGTTGCAAAGTGCCAGTCAGCAAATATTTACATATGCCAGTCGAATTTGTGGATCCGCCTTCACTGTCCTCTCCAGCCGATCGACGTCCTCTTCACAGAACAGAGGGAAACTGAACCCGGTGACGCCAGTTTCGGAACTCTCAAGCAAGTCTTCCTTAACGCAAACTTCTTCTTGAACCGGAGTACTAGTTTTATCTAGAAGAAAGGATGTTCCGATTTGTTAGGTTCGTTTGCAGAGTCACACATTTGTAAAGCTTCATTTCCAATGAAAAACAACGAAACATTTTATAAGACCTTATGCCAAAAAAAAAACAAATTTTATTCATTATGCTTGTCACAAAACTGCTGAATCCGCTTTCGTTGATTATAGTTGTTGGACCGCCGACGACCTGCAATCTTCATGATGACCTTCGTTAGAACATCCGCCAGATTTTCGATCGAAGTCACGCCGTGTCGCTCCCACGCTTCTGCAATTGAAAACAATTTTAGTGGTTACCCAAATGTGAACCATTCCACCCTTCTTCTAGCGCTCCGGAGATTTGTTATTTAAATTTTGGGGTGTCCTTTTCTGGATCATTAGAAAAAAATAAGCAATCTCCAAAATCTTCTACGAACAACATCTAAAGGGCGAACAGGAAATTATTGCAACACTTACAACTGGCTGTATCTTTATTCCTACTAGGCGGAAATTAACCAAACTTTGCACAGTTTCTCTTTGAAGTGTATTGTTTACATCCTGAAAATTGCATTATTGTCTGTTTCGATTAGGGGCGGCTTTCATTCTACCGCTTTTTAAAATGGTTACACGGTAACGTCCAACTCCGTCATCCGTTTAAACAGCCGGAGAACGAAAAAGACGGCAAATTCACTGGGCCTCGCACGTTTACGCTCATTGATTTTCCATATGTGAATTTGGTTCCAAACATCAACAAACCATCGTTGCTTATGACTTGTTGTCGTTTGGAACCAGTTATGCCAGGTAGGCGATGATTGTTTGTATTTGACAGTCATCTCCCCGCTTGGTTTCGATGCGGCTAAGTTGGAAGTGAGTCAAGTGGAGACGGGTGAAAATATATTGTACACTCACATGGAAAATCCGGAACTGTCCCATCGTGCTTTAGGAAAAATACTACACCGGTTGACACTGGATCACAAACACGGAGTAGGAAGGAAACCGGGAGCAGCATGTAGGAAGACGGAGGGAACGGTGAAAGGTAATTTCACCCGAAATTCCAACATTTCAACACGTGATGTTGCCAAAAAAAGGTCATAGTTTCGCAAAGTTACTTGCAGAAGGTCAAGACAAGAGCTGGATTACATGCATTCAAGGTCCAAAACTTCCCGAACCGCGATGAACGCCAGCAAACTGTTACCAAAACCGCGCAAGGAAGCTCTACACGGAAATGTTGACCAGATACAGTTGCTGTGTGATGGATGATGAAACATACGTCATATCTAACTTCCAACAAATACCAGGACAGGAGTTTTACATTGGAAAAGATAAGGTCCAAGAGGATGATCGTTTCAAGAAAAAGAAGTAAAATATTCGTCACAAAGGGCACCATCAATGGTGAAACGTCTGCTGCCATTTTTGAGACAGCACAGTAAAAAACCATTGTTTTGGCTTCACTTAGCTTTATGTCACTAGTCTAAAAGCGTGCTGGAATGGTATGAGGATTCGATGCATTTTGTCCCCAAGGACATGAATCCACCGAACTGTCCAGAGCTACGCCCAATCAAACCATGATGAAGCGGGAACTCAGAAAGACCAAGGAGAAAGTAAAGGATGCAAATGGCATGAGGAGGAAATTGATAAAAAAAAAATAGAAAAAGGTACCGGATACGTCTGTACAAGCTTTTATGGATGGCGTGAAGCAAAAGTGTCAGGCATTTTACCAAACAACCCCCAAAAATTGATCCAATATACGTATACTGAGCTTAATACATGTATAGAACCCCCCAACAAATTTGGTTTTTATCTGCTAAATACGTGAAATTTTAGAGGAAATTAAATGTGTTGCAATAATTTCGTGTTTAACCTTGAGAACAGTGGTTCTCAAGCTTTCGGTGATCGCGACCCACTTTGAGATATTCCATAAACTTGGCGAATATTGAAAATAGACATTGCAACTCAGGATGGCAACTGAATTTCCATTTTTCATCCGGTCATCGAGAAGGGAAACTTAGCTCGATATCAGTTGTTCCTAGAGACCGAATACACCTCAAACGGTCCATGGCTGTCACGTTGGAAGCGATGCGATTCCATCAACTCAGTAATGTACACAGGGGCGTAATTGATCTAGTAGAACATTTGATCAAAATTCCAGGACAATTTAGAGAACTCAGAACATTTTATAAAGGCACAGCTACAAAGCAAGACCATGCTGGAGGTGACTGGGTTCAATTCCCGGTCCGGTTTAGGAATTTTTCGGGTTGAAAAATTTCTCGACTTCCGTGGGCATAGAAGTATGATTGGACTTGCGGGGGAGAGGTAGCTCATCGATTCTTACGGTTCGCCTCCTAGCATCGTGCTATAAGGTACCAGGCGATAACCAAGGTAGTTGATCAATAGCTCGATGACGTCATTTCGTTGACGTCTGCAATGGGAAATTCTCATAGCAGGCGTTGACGATGGGACGTTGTCGAGTTGTTGAATAGCAACTATCGTGGTAACTCACCGATTACCTGTCGATCTGCCAAATTTGGAAAGACGTCTGCATTGAATTGTCTCATATAATAATATTCCGCCCACTATATCACAAGAAATTGCGAGTAGCTGAGTGGAATAGAGATAAGTTAAGCATTGGGTACAGGACCAAGTCTCCCCTGGGTGGTGCCAAAAGATGAGCGCAATAGAATCATCAAGTTGCCATAAGGCACGGAATGAGACTATTGCATGGCTGGGTAGTCAAAGTCTTCCATTCGTTAGTCATTTCAGGTGGATTAGAACAGGTTTAGGTGGGCGTTGGCCAGATTTGGATTTTTCAGATGTAATCCTGGATAGGACCCTGTTGAACGTCGCGTGAAAGTGGAACTTAATGAAGACCTAAGTACTTTTTCGTAGTTTTTAGTTTTCGGATTTGAAAGATCGTCGGTTACAGTGGCTTGCTTACTGAGCAGAAAAACGCTGTCCCAGTAAAATCGCTTGTGTATCGTGTATTTTGCGAAACTCGTTGTTGTCGTTGGTTCCGGGTTTGAATGGATACACAAATTTGAGCACGGTATTATGTGATATGAGGGGCTCGGTGGCCTTAGAGCAACCGTTTTTGCTTACTGAGCAGAACATCATGAGTCTAATCTCAGGCCCATCCACATTCAAGATTCGTCAATCGTTTTATTTGTTAATATGACTACATGGTAATAACAGCAACTCGGTGATTAAAAAGGAGCTCGTCTGCCTAGTGGCAAACGTTTTTGCTTACTGAGCAGAAGACCGTGGGTTCAATCCCAAGCTCCTTCGCATTATATGATTGTTAGGACATCAATTCAGCTTATCGTTTACCAAAACGAACCCTGCTGCAAACCCAACCCTCTTATCCAACATCCCAGTGATTCCTCGTGGAAGTGCAGAGGTGTTCTCGGCTTCCATCAAAGCGAGTGTCATGTCAACACAATCCTTCCCATTCCTTTCTTGACCTGTGTTTGGGCGCGGCCGGCGCTGGTATTGCCTAATTTAAGATCACCAGTTTTTACACATTGAGGATGATTGCTAGTCCCAAGCATCGTCTATTGGTTCTCTGTGTAATTACAGCTGATCCGGCAGTAACAGAGTAGCAACCGTGGGCGGTCAATCAAGCTCAAGCTCAAGCTCATAGAAGTATGATTGGACTTGCCACACAATTATACCAATGCAAAAATGGTACAGGCATCGAAAGCTCTCAATTAATAACTGTGAAAGTGCATCTAGAACACTAAGTTCAGGACACGCAATAAGCTAATATGCGATATGCAATAAGCTTGAAATGCGAAGAAGAAGAACATTTGATAAACAAAGGAAATGGATCGAAATCTGCATAGACAAGTTTCGCTGCTAAGGACATTGTTTCACATTGTGGTTGGCCTAATGGATCGAATGATCCAGGATCGTTTGGAAAGCCTAGAACATCTTGTATACATGAAAGTAGACTTCTAAATTGTGATTTTAGATTTTATGAATCTCTTTAGATATGTTCCGTTGCTGAGGACATCGTACAATCCCTGGTTGACCATTTAGAAGACTTGGCATATTTTATCACCATGCGAATGGATCTTGAATGATGGGCCTAGGTTTTAAGAACATGATTGGACATGTTATCAGACCTTTTTTTTAGATAAAAGGAAGGAGAGAATAGAACGGATGACCTATAATACCAAAAACGAGTGTAACGGTATTTTGCTTTTTTGAGAGACACCCTCCAAAAGAGCTTGTTGTCTCATTGAAATATAACAGAAGAAAAATCGTCCCAAAAGGGTAAACCAATCCGGTGGGTCGCGACTGCTACTCTAGAAGATTTTCAAATTTGAGACTATCTCCGGAACCGCAATTCCTATCTTAACACACTTACCAAACATACAGTCGGAGAAAATGTGCATCGTTTTCATGGCCTTCCGGGGAAATCGTGGATTTTTACACCCATTCCAGGCGTACGGTGCCATGGCTTCGTCGGTGAAGAACTTGGCGAAACACTCCAGAATGTCCATGTGGCGGGGCTTCCGTTCGGCCAGATAGGTTATGTACTGTTCCCGCGTTTTGACATTGGAGCGTACAGCTTCCTCCAGCCGTTCCACTTCGTCGGAGGTGTACACCGGAAAGGCAAACCCCTCCACCGATACTTTCCGGCGGGGTTGTTCGGCTCGTTTGAACGGGCTAAGGTACTGCAGCAGCTCCTGCTTACGCTTGTCCAGCGTGGCTGTCGATGGTTCTGGAAGTGAAACGAAGTGGTCAGTGAATGTCATAATTTAGCTGTTAATGGATTATTTCATCAAATACAGCTTAGTGCTTAAAGAAAACATGTTTATTCAAGTTAATCATCACATTTCGGCCCATAGTTTGATGATCTGTCAATAGACCTCTTCTTCCTGGCGCACTTGTTAGAATATCGTCTTCGGCTGATTTTGAAAACTGTTTTCCGTAACTCATTTTGAAGAACGTCTTTCTGCACTCCATGTGTAACCCAGGCATCTAGAAAATGTTGTGATTAGTTAGGTTTCTATCACTGTTGTTTGGAAAAATCCAAACAAACAAAAATCGTACATCAAAGGTCACATAGGACCTCCATTTGAATAATTACTTGAATCCTTACAGCTGCAAAGCATAGTACATTTAGAAATAGAGTTGGTCTCTTTTCCTTTACCCTTAGAGCAGTTCCACGCCAACTGACGAATCGATTTTAAGTTTTCACTCTCCGAATGCCATGAAACTTCGCACAATTGCCGACAAGGCAATTTTGATTCACGCATAATTTTTCAAAATTGCGTATCCGATATGAATCATAACATGAAACCGGCTTATCTAATCGAAATATCGTCTGGGACAAAGTTGTACAAAAATGGTTTGCTTTTTCAGAAAAAAATACACACTGAAAAAAAAATAACACAATGAACACTTCAGAATTGACCAAAATCATTTAACTTTCATGCGCCAGCTCTATTTGCAAAAACTTTGAACTTTTCATTTCTACAAATAATGTTCATCGTTTATTATGCAGAAAACGATTGTGCTACATTTTCCCCGAACGCCATTTCCCCGAATCCCATACAAACATATACCCTATTTCCCCCGACACACCTATGTAAATCTCAATTCTAGATGCTCAACAAATCTCACACTAGTGAATCAATCTTCGAAAAATCTTCTTTCATTTCTCCCATCTACTTGCATCGCGCATCATCTTTTTACAAGAAATCTTCAGAATCGTCATCAATCTTCTTTCTATCTACTCAGCGTGCGAGCAGCTAAGCACAGCAAAATACAAATTTTCCTGTATCGTAGATAGAGTCGCCCCCTGGATTTCCCCGAATGTAATTTCCTCGAATGAAATCCAAAACTTGATAAAATACTTTGACTGATTTAAAAATTGATAACATAGATTTTTTCCGTCGATCTTGTTTTCCGTGCTGAGCATCAATGCTACCGACGCCAGGAAGGCAGCTCCCACACATGGACCCTACCTATCGACCCATCAACTCATGAACCGGGGACCAACGGTTTTACTTCCCTTCCGAAGGAAGACGTGATCAGAGATTTTATGCCTCAGAACATCCCGGCGGCGCCGACTGGGATTGAACCCAGGCCTGCTGGGGTGATATAAAATACTTTGACTGATTTAAAAATTGATAACATAGATGATTTTTTCTTTTATAAATTCAAATCAAGGAATTTGGCAAACTTGTGAAATATATATGGTTTGGCAAATGAATCGAGGAATGCTTTGAGTTTTTACACTCACAACTACTGACAGCATAGCGCCCCTAAATGATAAATATTTCTGAACTTTCCAACCCGCCGTTGTAACCTAAAATATGTGTACCGTTTCTAAGTGGACTATGCTTTACATCGGTTGTCCTAACGAGCAACTCACCCATCATGCAGTCGGTAAAGATGTGATAATTCATCATCGCTTTTCGGGGACACTGGTTGCGATCAAGCCCTTTCCAGTTGTACCGCAGCATAGCCTCATCCTTGAAGAAGTAACCGAAACACTCCTCAACCGATTCGCTGAATGGTTTTCTCCTACGCAGATAGTTAACCTACAGGGAAGATAAAAACCGGTCAAGTCGTGTCGGAGTGTCCAACAACTCACCACTCACAAATTGCTCTCGAATACTTGGGTTTCGTTCCACCATGAGTTCGAGTCGCTCGATGTCCTCCTCGCAGGACATGGGAAAGGAAAATCCATTCACACGGACGGGTTTTTTCAAATCGTCACTAGTCAGCTGACGGAATTCCGTATCGATCTGCCGTATCTGTCGCTGCACCTGCCTTATCCGCTCGGAACGTGTCGGTGATCGGTTCCGGTTCTGGTCGCGCTTCAGTTTCCGCAGGGCACCCTTCAACAGCAGCACTCGTTGGGCCATGCCTTCTAGGATATCGAAATATGCAAGTTAGTAATAGAATCGGTCGGTGTGTACTAGATTCGACCAGTAAGTCCATCTACTGGAACAATTTCATGGCAGGTAGGAAGCTCAAATCAGAGTTTATTTCAGAACACGGTACTAGAATACATGGATAGAAAATTCATTCTTGTACTTCCACGATCTTGAACTTCTTTTTCATGGCTTGCTTTTTCGTGTACCGGCGGCGGTTGATGTGGTAGACAGTTTTCTTCAGCTGCTCGACAAGGCTTTCGTTGTCGATTCCGTGACTTTCCCAGGCAGCTAGAAGGAAACTTGATTTTGTATCGCCAATCTAGTACTGCAAAATCGTTCTAAACTTACCGATCATGCAAGCGTAGAATATCTCGTACTTCTGCATGCCTCTTTTCGGTGTTCGCGGGAACTCTGCCTTCTCCAGTCCGTGCCAGTTGTAATTGGTCATGGCTTCATCTGTGAAGAATTTATTGAACGCTTGTAACACACTCAACCGCAGTGGTTTGATGACGCTCAAATAGTCGACCTGTAAAAGAGGGGTTATTAAACCATCTAGGTCAAATTGCCACAAGAAACACCTACATATTGAGCACGAACATCGGGATCTATTCGGACGGCCGATTCGAGTCGTTCGATGTCTTCCTCACTACTGATGGGAAACTGGAAACCGCTGACCCGTGGTTTGCACTCGCCGGCGGTTGCCTTCGAAATCATCCGGAATTCGTCGTCCAACTGTTGCAGCTCCTTGCGCAGGGCCCGCACCTTGTCCAGATCGTCCTCTTCGACCGCGGCCGGATACTCGTCGATGCGCTGTGTCAGCCGTTCCATTTCCATTTTTATGTAGACCAGCTTGCGAGGTCGGTTATCCTCTGCTGTTCAAGTGAGAATTGTTTGAAAAAGCATATGATAGTAGCATAAATTTTTTACACAGTGTATTATAAAGAGTACGTCACAAAATGCGGCAGTTAAAAATTGCATGATTTTATTCAAACTTCTTATGAAAGTACACGCCAAATTCCGCACGTCATTCGGAACCCTTATCACTGATTCGCTTGAGTGTCTTCTTCGCTCGGAACGTTCGTTGCCGCATCCGGTTTCGGCTTTGCTTGATGGCCGTGGTCAGCTGAAGGCTCAATTCATCCATGTCCAGTCCCTCGCCCTCGAACGCTTCTGAAAATGGAGGAAGAAAAACTGTTCTCGTGCCTCTTGACCTTGATCTATAAAAACTAACATACCTAGGAAACAGTTTGAAAAAATGCTATATCCCTTCATCGATACTTTGGATTTACCGGAAGCATGAGAGCCGTGGAAGTTGTAGGAAATGAGCGCCTCATCGGAGAATACCATCGGCAAAAATTGGACCAAATTCAGAGAGGTGGGCTTTTTGCTGATGAGGAAATTGATCTGTTCAAAAAAAATAACCTTTTCCATTAAAGAGCACCACGAGAAATATGTACCTAGTAGGGTGATTCAAAATATCGCATTTTTCAAATCAGGTTCTGATCATTTTCCCAAAAATTTGATTTTGGTTGTGAACTCGTACTGCACTGGGCTGGGGCTCTTAACTTTTTGTAAGTGGCGCCGCGTAACCTCACCTTTTTACCTGTTCTCCGACATTGAATTCTAATTCTAAATCTAAATCGGTTCCAATTTCCACATAATCTTCTAGTTTCACTGATATTTTTATTTATTTAAGCAATATTTTTTTCATTTGTTTACGTTTTTCAAGAGGAAGAAGGGCCCATGCATTAATTATGTCACGCTAAATCTAGCAAATTTGGGTAGAATCCACCCACATCGGTCAAAACTGAACCTACCCAAAAATGGGTAAACATGTATTTGCCCAAATCTGGGTAAACGTACCTGCGACATAAACTCGGACATTAACTGGGTAATGGTTACTCAGATGTTGACATTTGATAACAAGGTAAACTTTACCCAATTTAATATAAATTAGATGATATGACCGCTGCAGTAGCTTTATCAAACATAACCTCACCCGACTAGCTCTTCTAGCCTGTTATTGATTGTTGAGGTCATATTGTCGGAAAAATATATAACTACGAAATACGACATTGCAATAGCCAAAAAACGATACCGTTACAAATGCTAACCATTCATTGAGATTTGAGATGAGAATGAGATCTTTAAATTAGGAACAAAAACAAACACTTGGCATCAAGAAAAGCGTCACAGAATATCTCGATAACCTAGAATTAGGAGAATGTTCAAAGTCCAGAAACTAACACTATACTTACTAGCTATTGCTGCTGGTAGCATTCGCCATGATAACAGTTCCATATCTAAAAAATATTTAGCATCAGATTTATATATTTTGAGCATTAAAACTTTTACCACAAACGAAGTGACAGACGGAGCGGCTCGAAAACTTTGGTGACTAACCTGCTATTGCAATTTTTCAGTGTACCACATGGCAACACTACTACTACTGGATTGTACCACATGGCAACACTACTATTGGATTGAACTAGCATTTTCACCAAATGTACTAGAATATTTTGGTTCTATCTCTTTCACTCTACTCAAAACTGAAATGCATAAAAAAATGACAAAATGATACGCACTCTTTGCACACTGTCAAAGAATCATTGTACACAAAATCAACTTTGTTCAAATCAAAACAAAAAAACTAACCCATCTGGTGGATGATGGCACAAGCTTCCAAGAAATTCTATTACAGTGAACCACATTATTTTAATGGATTTCTTCGCCAGTAAGTCGTCTGTCACTTCGTTTGTGCTTTTACTGGCGGCGCAACAATCTCCTTTTAATATCTGCACCATTTTTTACTTTGGAAAAATTTCGATTAGAATTATTTACCCAGAATCTGGGTAGATTCTACTCATCAGAACAAAACTAGTTTACCCAGATTTTGACAACTCCTAACTGGATACAAAAATGGGTGACATCTACCCAGTCATTGGGTAGATTCAGAATAGCGTGTAAGGATCCAAATGTGTAAAGTGGCATGTTGGGTAACAACAAACACTGTGTAATATTTCAACTTATTCGGTAACGGTCGGTTAAAAATTCGTCATTTGAAATGGAAATGTGAAATTTTCCAAGCTTAACTTTTGCTGCAGGCCACTTTTTGATTGAACCCGAAAGAAAATTATGTATTGATGTCCAAGTCTATAACATTTTGATGTGACTAATCGACTGCCCGACAGGCAACACTGAGTTTTGTCCCGCATGACCAGAGTTGATAATAGAGTTCTCTACCACCGTTAGTATTGCAGTACTTGTTCGCTAACTGGGCTAAAAGCGCAACCCAGTTAGCGAATTGCACTCACTAACTGGGCTGGCTTGTCAAACGTCAAAAACACTGAGGGGAACTTCTATGGATTGTTTGATCAACGTTAAAAAAATCCACAGCATTCAAACTCGCGAATTTAGAAAGGCTTGGCGCTTTAGCTAAAGCCGCTTTCAAGTCTTGATTTCAGTGTGAAATGAAAATAAGTTCAAATTTATGTATATTAACACTTAACATTCCATTCGAATACCACTCACCAATTATGACAACTAAATTTCAAACTAAATGTGACGTCTATTTTTGACGTATAACTGCTTTTTAACTGGGTTACAGCCCAGTTAACGAACGCCCAGTTAAAATGCAGCCCAGTAAAAGAACGTTAGTTCAGCGCTGCCATTTATACAGATTTATCTGTATTATACAGATTTTTTAATCTTAATACAGACCCGATACAGAATACAGATTTATCACAGATTTTTAAATTACAATACAGATTTTTATAAAATGCTTGAGAAAAAAAAAAATCAAAATTTATAAAGCCAAAATAACTTTTTTGATTGTATGGGGATTTACAGTATTAATTGAATATTTCCAATATAAGCATGTATGTTAAATACAAGAAAAGTGCCCGAGCACATTAAAATGGTACAAATACAAGTACTCGTAAACATTTTACTTGCATTGAAAATGTATTTCGTAAGAAATTGCGGATTTTCTGATATTCTCCATACTGCAAAAATGATTTTACCAGCACTGACGGGGCGACATCTCTTGACTTTTCGGTGTAACTACCACACAAATGATGTAATTAATTGTATTCATCTATATTAAAAATATCAAATAGTAATGAACTCGTGCACTTTTTTTTGCATTTAAAACTGCTTATCAGGAAGATAATGAATACCCTAATAAACGGGTACCATACAATAACAATATCATAGATAGTATGAGCATACCACATAAAGTTGGGATGATATCTCGAATTGGCGGTTAGGCGCTTCTTATGGTTATTGTTTATGCGGGTAGAAACTAAAATCTCCATACATTTTCAAACGGCTTCATATCACTCTTATAAATAAGTACGGATGATATCACAAATGGCGTAATTATATCCCGTATGGTTAGTACGATAGCCCGAATAGGTGGCTAAGCACTTTTTATGGTTATTTTGTATGCACTGTATTTGTAAAACAACAAAACATGATTAATTAAGAAAAAAAAAAGTCAATACAGAAAATACAGATTTTTTAATAGAGTGGATACAGATTTTTTATAAAACCACCTGGCAGCTCTGCGTTAGTTAGCGAACAAGTACTGTAGTGAGCAGTTTCACTAATACAAGCTTTTTACTGGTTGAAAAAAAAAAAACAAACCGCTGTCAAGTCGAACACTTTGACAGCTGATTTCGTGGTTGAAAATAATAAACAAATCGATTTTAAACGGCTACACTAGCAACGTTGTGTTGGTGAAATCTTGCGGCAAGAAGTCAATAGAAGAGTTACGCAGACTGAAACCAAAATCTACCTATCGGACTGTCAAACCGTCTACCTATCCAAAGTTGATAATAGAAGAGTTACGTATATAGAGTGAAACTTGCAACACTGCCCAACGATCAATGGACTTTTTTTATTTTTACACCTCAGATGACTTCACCAGGGTTGGGAAACTTTCCTCTAGTTTCGATAACAATACTTCCCACGCAAAAGAGTCAGTTTGTCTACTGCACGATAGGTACAGAGTTGAAAATAGAAGAGTTACGCAGACTGAAACCAAAATTTACCTATCGAACTGCCAAACTGCCTAAATAAAAAATATGCCCATTGATCGACATCAGTGTTGCAAGCTTCACTCTGCTTAATTCTTATATCAATACCAACAATTGAAATGGCCTTAACTCCATTTTGTAAACAAACCTTGTAAGGCCATTTTCTCGCGAACCGAAGTCCGCAAAGGCAAACCAACATAATGAACAGGTAGGAGAAATTCTCCTCCACCCGATTGTGGTTTAGGTTTGCAAATGTAGGTTTCGGTTCGCAAGAAAATGTAAGGTCATTTGTTTACAAAATGGAGTTAAAGTGGACCCTACATGACTGCTTTTATTGACAATAATCGTATTGTCAATATATTCTATATGGACGTTAATACATGAGTATTGACAATATTTATATGTTCACATCATCAATATTGTTCTCAATAATTCCCCTTAGCGTCAATATATTGATACGTGTGAGGTTTGCTTAAGGCCATTTCAATTGTTGGTCTTGATATTATCAACTCTGCGCATGTCATAGTAGCCTGGATTTTTTGCATTATTCTTCATGGCAGGCACACCAATGTTGCCTGCTGAGCAGGTGATGAAGCATGTTACAGGAACATCAAATTCTTAATTAATAACTAACTGGACCAAAATAGAAAAGGGCCCATCAGCATTTGTAAACAAATCGTTCCAAAGCCCATTCCTCACCAATCGAAGACCGCTCACACAAACCAACACCATCATCGTGTAGGTAGAAGTTTCCCCTATCCGATGATGGTGTTTGTTTGCGTGGGTGGCCTTCGCTCTGCGAGTAAAGGGCTTTGGAACGGTTTGTTTAAAAATGTTGATGGGCCCTTTTCTACTGTTGATCCAGGATTATCCTGACGTTCAATTAAAATGTCTTCTTCTTATTCTTCCTCGCATTTCAAGCTTATTACTTATCGCATATTAGCTTATTGCGTGCTCTCAACTTAGTGTTCTAGATGCACTTCCACCGTTATTAATTGAGAGTTTTCGATGCCTGTATGCATTAGTATAATTGTTGGCAAGTACAATCATACCATCATACTCTATGCCCAGGGAAGTCGAGACATTTTCTAACCCGAAAAATTCCTAGACCGGACCGGGAATCGAACCCAGCCACCTCCAGCATGGTCTTGCTTTGTAGCTGTGCCTTTACCGACTGAGCTAAGGGAGGCGTGGTCTTCAGTAAAATTGTAGCTGGGAAAATTTACAAGTACAGATAGCAAACATTTCCATATATCACTAAAGCGAAGGTTTAGGACGATGAGCATAAAAAATAACTTTTCCCATAGTAGGTAATTCCCATAAAAACTTCAAAGGTGCAATACGAGTTCACAACCGAATGAGCTCAAATTGATTAGCACCTAATTTGGAACGAATTGATATTTTGAACCACCCTCTCTAATATAGTAGTCAAGACCGCCTTAAACTCACATATTGATAACGAATGTCCGGATCGTTATGTACTTCCGATTCCAGTCGTTCGATTTCCTCCTTCTCGGTTAGCGGAAATTCGAATCCCTCGACGAAGGCGCTGGGTTTCGTGGCCAGTGCAGTACTAGCTGTAATTGGTTTCTTCGGCAGGGTTCCCGTCAGCATCTCCAGATCGCGCTGCAGGTGCTCGATTTGCGATGCAACCGGGTTCTCCCCGTGCTGTACAAATTCGTTGGAGACTTTTTTGAGGTAGTAGATTCGTTTCTGCAACTTCATGATCTTGTGCGCTGGAATAAAAAAAAGGTCGGAAGAGGCGTTAGTAACAGTGATAGAAGCGATGAATGTTAGCTGATGTATTCGATTGCAGATTTGAAAGACGATTTCGAAACAATGCACTACTAGATTTTTATTCATTAAACTTGGCCTCTCGACTGACGGATTCAGCTTTGAATGCATCCTTTTTCAGCATGCTGCTCAAATCCTGATCGGTGAAGTCGATCAGCATGCCGATAGTGCTTTGGTCCCGCGGAGGATGGTTGTGGTTGGCATTCAGTACTACGCAGGATTTATCCCGATTCAAGCGGATGCGAGCTTTGCACTTGAGCAAGTTCTTCCTATCGCAGACCCATTTGCTCGATTTCTCCGCTGTGTAGGACCGGTTGTAGAAATTACCGTTGAAGTACAGCTTCAGCGAGTTGCGGTTGCCAATTTGGAATAAGGCTTTACCTACAAATTGATAGAACATGCATTAATTTGAGAGGCTATACAACTTTCCATCAACAACAAAGTTAGTAATTTATAGGAATAAGCCAAAAAATGATGTCTTCTGGCACTTTTGTATATTTCGTTCCATTATTTTGCAACACAATGCTGCACGTCGAAGCATGGTTCACATGTCCACTGCCCACCCGGACACGTTGCACAATATGTAATTATTTTGCCCAGTCGTTTCTTATATTCCGGATCCTGGATCGAGCGGATACAGCTTACACAGAATCCCTTAACGCGAGCCCGTTTCAGCAGCACTAGAGCGTGACCGTTGGACAGCTGCTTCACGATGTTATCCTTGGAAATTTTGCTCTTATCTGGCGTTATAATTCGATCCGGGTCGGGATCTACGACGGTTGTTTTCTCCCCATCGATGGCGGATGTGCCTCCCAGTGGATCTGGATTTTGTTTTACCGGAGACTGTGGTTTACAGCGCTTGATTTTCACCTTTTTCAGTATTATTGGCAAGGAGGACACTCTGAGCTGTTTGCCTGGGAATGTAAAAAATGGTAATGTCAGTACGGTGTAATGCAGTTGTACTAGAATAGCAGAAATAATAAGGTATTCGATAATTGGTTTGAGAAGTTTATTTCATTCCGAAAACAGGGTATTACACATGTTCTGATATCGGTGGTGGAATGCTGATGACCTGAGTTATGTTTCCTCTTTAGTACCCTAGAAGAAGAAAAATCCTATAAAATACAGAGCATTTTTCAAGGGGCTATAAACATACATCGAAAATGGGCAAATCCGACGAAAAAACACTGCCCCTCACATATGAACCATGGTTGTGCTCCGGTCGAACTACGATTAGCTGTTTTCCTCGAGTTTTCAACGTAGCCCTGCACTTATGTTTCCGATAACCTGTACATCTCCAATAGACAATATTTTCCGGTCCGTGGATGGCAGTTTTGGAATAAGTTTGCTTATTGTATACCAGGTTACCGCGGTAATTGTAGCTGTAAGAAAGTTGATCCGGCTGCTCTTCTGTGGTCGAGGCTGAAAGTCACAAAAAATAGCCTTCGTTACTTTCCAATACGATATTTCCTCGACGTAACAGCGCATTAAACGATTGAACAAAATTTCCAATTGGTATGCTTCTTTATTCAACCCATTCGAATTCCTCCAAATCGTACTGGTCCAATGTCGCCGCCAGCGATCGTTCCCGTTTCCTCTCCTGCATGAGCTGCTTCAAGGCTCCCCTTTTGCGTCTAACCTGTATCAGCTGGTGATTATGTTCGTGCTCGATGACCTCGATCCGTTCCAGATGGGTTCGGACTCGCGATCGGCAGCCTAGCGATTTGAACTGCACACACCGCCAGTAGACCTTGCCGGCCTTGCAGCTGTGACGGGTGTACGGAAAACCCTGCACCAACAGCTGCAGCGAACCCTTCTTGCTGACCGTGTACTCTGCCGGACCATAATCGTCGTCTAGAATACGTCAATTGAATTAGGAAGCGAACGTTAAATTAAATTAAAAAAAAAACTTAGTTCTAGAATAACTGTTACAACCGATTTATGGAAGCTTAAAAACGAATGTATATATTTAATCATTTTTTTGCGTTTGACGGGTGGACGTTCGAGTCACGACGGTTTCCTGATGTTCACGTTTGCGCTCTTCCAGAAGTTTTCGCAGGGCTCCACTTTTTCGGCGATCCATATTCCTCGGATGATTGTGCTCGGCATCGATCACTCGCAGTTTGGATTTATCTTTGTCCGTTTTGGCACGTGCTTTGCATCTGTAATAATAGGCAAGGGGAGAATCAAATAGAGCCAGTAGACGAGTGTCTGGTCGTCTTTCTACATAATGTAAGAATTTTCGTAGTAGGCCACGCTGGAAAACTGACGTGTTTTGCTTTTGCTTTTGCAAATTTTAAGGGAGTGTTTGGTGAAAATTCAGTACGAAAACTCCCCGGAGAGTGCAGTCTTTGAGCGTCTGTTCACCATGGAGGTGCGGCTCAAAACGGCGTCTGTTCTCCATGTTAGGAGCGGCTGATCAACGTCCTGGTGCGTGGGACTCTAAACATTGCTGTGCACGATGGTCCCCCGGCGATACAATGGGGGTTGGTGCAGGCCCTACAAGCCAGCCGTAAAAAAACAAAAGTACAGGAAGCAAGCAATGTAAATACGGACCGGAACAATCGGCATAGACCCAAGCAACAGAAACGGACTAACGATTGGAAACTCGGAACATGGAACTGCAAGTCTCTCAATTTCTTGGGAAGTACCCGCATTCTTTCCGATTTATTGAGGGTCCGCAAGTTCGACATCGTAGCGCTGCAGGAGGTTTGGTGGAAGGGATCGTCGGTACATACGTATAGGGATGGTTATACCATCTAAAAGACTTATACCACAAACGAAGTGACAGACGACTAACTGGCGAAGAAATCCATTAAAATAATGTGGTTCACTGTAATAGAATTTTCTTGGAAGCTTGTGCCATCATCCACCAGATGGGTTAGTTTTTTTGTTTTGATTTGAACAAAGTTGATTTTGTGTACAATGATTCTTTGACAGTGTGCAAAGAGTGCGTATCATTTTGTCATTTTTTTTATGCATTTCAGTTTTGAGTAGAGTGAAAGAGATAGAACCAAAATATTCTAGTACATTTGGTGAAAATGCTAGTTCAATCCAATAGTAGTGTCAACAATCAATACGAAACTAACGATTTTAAATTGGCTCACCACTTTAGTAGCCTATTGGTCCCAAGCAAACGATTAACGTACCCTATTCTAGTTGAAATTCTATTACTACACTATGTTTGTTTTGATTCGCTATGAAAGTTTGACAGATAACATCAGGGGTGTGTGGATTCATGCAGAACATGCAGGGGTGAGTGAAATAGCTTGGGACTGCTTGGGACCGTTGTTCTGGTACTGAGTGAGCCAAAAATAATAATGATTTTCTTCGGGAGCCAGTGGTCTTAGAGTTACCTCTATGGTAGTGTTGCCATGTGGTACAATCCAGTAGTAGTGGTGTTGCCATGTGGTACACTGAAAAATTGCAATAGCAGGTTAGTCACCAAAGTTTTCGAGCCGCTCCGTCTGTCACTTCGTTTGTGCTTATACCATCTACCAGAGCTGCGGCAATACACATGAGCTGGGTACAGCTTTCATCATGATGGGCGAAATGCAGAAGCGCGTGATTGGGTGGTGGCCAATCGATAGCAGAATGTGCAAGTTGAGGATCAAAGGCCGTTTCTTCAATGTCAGCATAATCAACGTGCACAGCCCTCACTTAGCAAGTGACGATGACGATAAAGACGCTTTTTACGCGCAGCTGGAACGGGAATACGACAGCTGCCCAAGCCATGACGTCAAAATCGTCATCGGAGATCTTAACGCTCAGGTCGGCCAGGAGGAGGAATTCAGACCGGTTATAGGAAAGTTCAGCGCTCACCAGCTAACGAACGCCAACGGCCTCAGACTCATCGATTTCTCCGCCTCCAGCCTCCCGTATCGGTACACCTGGAGATCACCGCAGCAGACAGAATCGCAAATCGACCACGTTTTGATCGACGGAAGGCACTTCATGTCCAAGACTCCTATCGCGGCGCAAATATCGATTCGGACCATTACCTTCTAATGGTCAAGGTGCACCAAAAACTATCCGTTGCCAACAACATTCGGTACTGACGCCCGCCGCGGTACAATCTGGAGCGACTGAAGCTGCCCGAAGTCGCAACTGAGTACATGCAATGCCTCGACGCAGCGTTGCCGGATGAGGGAGAGCTCACCGAAGCCCCTCTGCAGGACTGCTGGAGCAACGTGAAAGCAGCCATTAACAGCGCTGCTGAAGGCGCCGTTGGGTTCGTGGAACGGATTCGACGGAACGATTGGTTCGACGAAGAGTGTCAGACAGTTTTGGACGAGAAGAACGCAGCGCGGGCGGCGATGCTGCAGCAAGGAACACGTCATAATGTGGAGCGATATAAACAGAAGCGAAGACAGCAAACCCATCTTTTCCGGGATAAGAAGCGCCGCCTGGAAGAAATGGAGCAGCTGTATCGTTCTCAAGAAACACGCAAGTTCTACAAGAAACTTAACGCATCCCGCCAAGGCTTTGTGCCGCGAGCCGAAATGTGTCGGGATAAGGAAGGGGGTATCTTAACGGACGAAAATGAGGTGATTGAAAGGTGGAAGCAGCACTACGATGAACATCTGAACGGCGCAGAGGCGGAGGACCAAGGCGGCAGGAGGAATGGCTTCGTCGGTACAGCGGATGAGAAGGCCATGCCAGCTCCCACGATAGGTGAAGTTAAGGATGCTATCCGACAGCTTAAGAACAACAAAGCAGCTGGGAAAGATGGTATCGAAGCGGAACTTATCAAAATGGGCCCGGATAAGTTGTCCACTTGTCTGCACCGACTGATAGTCAGGATCTGGGATGCATAACAGCTACCGGAGGAGTGGAAAGAGGGAGTAATATCAACAATCAATACGAAACTAACGATTTTAAATTGGCTCACCACCTTAGTAGCCTATTGGTCCCAAGCAAATGATTAACGTACCCTATTCTAGTTGAAATTCTATTACTACACTATGTTTGTTTTGATTCGCTATGAAAGTTTGACAGATAACATCAGGGGTGTGTGGATTCATGCAGAACATGCAGGGGTGAGTGAAATAGCTTGGGACTGCTTGGGACCGTTGTTCTGGTACTGAGTGAGCCAAAAATAATAATGATTTTCTTCGGGACCCAGTGGTCTTAGAGTTACCTCTATGGTACTACACTGTGTTTGTTTTGATTCGCTATGAAAGTTTGACAGATAAAATGAGGGGTTCGTGGATTTTCCTATGTTTCGAGGGGTGCATCGATTAGCTTGGGACCGAAGAGAGTACCAGAGCTGAGCCAAAAAGTTGAGCACGTTTCTTCAGGACCTTCTAGTCTTAGAGTTACCTCTATGGTAATATGCCCAGTATATAAAAAAGGCGACAAAATAGAATGTAAGAACTATCGAGCGATCACTATTCTTAACGCGGCCTACAAAGTGCTTTCCCAGATCATCTTTCGCCGTTTATCACCACTAGCAAGCAGATTTGTGGGAAGTTATCAAGCCGGTTTTGTGGATGGTTGATCGACAACGGACCAAATCTTTACGTTGCGGCAGATCATCCAAAAGTGAATATCAAGTCCCTACGCACTACGTATTCATCGATTTCAAGGTCGCTTATGATACTATTGACCGTTAAGAGTTACGGAAAATTATGGACGAGAACGGTTTTCCCGGGAAGCTGACCAGGCTGATCAGGGCTACGATGGATGGTGTACAGTGCTGCGTGAAGATATCGGGTGCGTTAAATGACACGTTTGAAACTCGCAAAGGACTTCGACAAGGCGATGGTCTTTCCTGCCTCCTGTTCAACATTGCGCTAGAAGGTGTTATGAAACGTTTAACAAGCGGGGCACGAACTTCAATAAGTCCAGCCAGTTCATCTGCTTCACTGACGACGTGGACATTGTCGGAAGAACGTTTCAGACCGTGGCGGAGCAGTACACCAGGCTGAAACGTAAAGCAGAGAAGGTTGGATTAAAGGTGAATACGTCGAAGACAAAGTATCTGTTAGCTGGAGGAACCGAGCGGGATAGGGCTCGCATAGGCAGAAGCGTGACAATCAACGGAGATGAATTTGTGTACCTCGGATCATTGGTGACGTCGGATAACAACTGCAGCAGAGAAATTAGTCGGCGTATTATTACCGGAAGTCGTGCTTACTACGGACTCGACAAGACCCTGAGTTCGGGTAAACTTCACCTCCGTACTAAATGTACCATGTACAAGACGCTGATAAGACCGGTAGTTCTCTACGGACACGAGACGTGGACGATGCTCGAGGAGGACCTACAAACACTGGGTGTTTTCGAACGACGAGTGCTTAGGACCATCTTTGGCGGGGTATGTGAGAACGGTGTATGGAGGCGAAGAATGAACCACGAGCTGGCGCAACTCTATGGCGAACCCTGTATCCGGAAAGTTGCGAAAGCTGGACGGGTACGATGGGCGGGACACGTTTTAAGAATGCCGGACAACAATCCCGCAAAAATTGTGTTTGCCTCGAATCCGGCCGGTACAAGACGAAGAGGAGCACAGCGAGCAAGGTGGTTAGACCAAGTGGAGCAGAATCTTGGAAGTGTGGGACGGTCAAGAAATTGGAGACAAGCAGCCATGGATCGAGTGAATTGGTTCGAGTGGCACATTGTTTCGAGTTAAAACGCGATGAAAAAATCAATTCCAGAAAAAATGAATCCGAAAACATGACAATCACAATTTTTTGCATCCATACAGAAGCAAAAACATCAATGTATAAGCAAATACCTTTCTTACACTGAAAAAAGTTCTAATGCTGTTTCCATTTGAAACAAAACATATTTCAACGGATACATAATTGACATGTGATTTGACCACATGAAAGTAAAGTGAAACTTCATTTTGAAATCACGTGAAAAATGTGTGTCCTGATCTAATCTCAACTTCTAAGTTCTGAACAATTTGAAATTCCTGCTAAATGTCGATGTTTCACATACTGTAGGTCAAAACAGTCCAACACTTACCCCAGTGGTTTGTAGTGCACGCAGCGATAGGTGATTCCGTTGTCCTTGATTCGATCCCGGGTGTAGCGGTAGCCATCGACACACAGTTGCAAGCCTCCTCGAGCGCTAACGATGTACTGTACCTCGTGAGCGCCACCTGTTGATGAAGTAGACACCATTACTAGACCGTACAAACCCTAAGCTACTAGAATGATATTAGAAACACGCAATATTTCCGCTCAGAATCGATTTATTGATCACTCTTATAAATTAGCAGCTTATTCCACCCTTTCAACGTGCCCCGGGGCCTCCGTTCGGTAATGATGTCGTGATTGTGCACGGATCGGACAATCTCATACGTCGGTTCACCGAACTTATTAACTCGCTCGATAATTCGTGCCTTGCATCTGCAACGAGAAGATAGTGTCCATATAGAAAAGAAAGTCCAAAGAATACCTGGTCACGAGCAACTTACTTTAGCGGTTTGGCCTGACAGCAACGCCAGCTGGTGGACCCTATCCGCTCCTTCTCCATCTCGAAAGTGAACCCGAGGTAGCAGATTTGACGCCTGCCTCGCCGACTTATGGTATACGTCACCGTACCTGGAGTAGACAGATTTTTCTGTGAGTTTATTGCAATTCGAAATCAGCGTGTAAAGCTAAAACAGATATTATGCCGAGAAAATAAACAAGTCATTTTTTGCAGCCTTGGTTAGCTATGCTGAGGTACTAGAAGTAGCGCGTATATTTATTTAGAGGAACTTTTCTTTCTGCGCTCGATTACAAGCGGATGATTGTGCGAGTGTTTGATTACAATTTTCTTTTGGCCACTGCGATCCCGGACGGCGTTGGCGCGAGCTTTGCAGCTGGAAGAAACATGGGGAAAGAAAAGGTAAAGGTTAGCTTTAAATGCAGTACTAGAATGCAAGGGTCATGGTTTCCATCAATACGAAACAAACGATTTTCAATTGGATCATTACTTGACTAGCCCATTGGTCCCAAGTACATCTATAGGCGCACTCACTAAAATCTGTTATATATTTTTTTATTAAAGACCCTTTAAAATGATATTCAGGTGTTTGTTTCGAGGGGTGCTTCACTTAGCTTGGGACCAAAGGTCTGGTACTTTCTGAACCAAAGTATTGAGCGGGACCCCCTGGTCTTAGTGTTAGTCTATGGTCAAAGAGCTTACCTCAGCGCACGATGTTGGGAGCATCTCCATGAGGTAACACTGTTGCGTACTTTATCCCTGGTAAAGGTGAACCCATCGAGCAATAGCAACGGGGTTCCACGGTTACTAATCGTGTACTGCACGTCAGGTTCGTTTCCATTTTCTACTCGTGCGGCATGAATGTGAGAATGCGGGGACCAACAGCAAACAACGACACAAATGAGACAGATAGCATTTCAAAGATTAGTACCAACAATGTTCAACACTGAAATAAATGAACCAAAGAGAAATCATAAGTCAACATTCTAGTACTACAATCAGACAATTGCATGCGGTTTTTGGGGGATTTTGTAGAGATTTTATTTGTTTCTAGGTGCCTGGCTAATGGAAAAGCTTATGGGGACCGGCTAACCGCAGTCGCATTTCTTCTCGTTCCTTTTTTCGCTGTTCCAACAAGGCTTTCAGAGCGCCACTTTTGCGACGTTCCGTAATGATTCCATGATTGTGCTTTCCCCGAATCGAAAGCACCTGACGACTGTTGCCCCGCGCAGTTGTCGCTCGTACCCGGCATCTGCTAACGTACAATGGTTGAATAAATCAAATATCTTTTCTAGGATGTACTAGAATAGCACTAACCTCAAAGCTTTCGATTGGGCACAGGCCCAATCGATGGCATTGTTTTTCACCAATTCCTGGGTAAATACGTATCCATCGATCGAGAGCTGCAACGTTCCTCGCCCGCTCAGAACGAAAAACGATGCTGGAAGGTCTGGAATTAGGTAAATTTTAGCATAAATACAACTGCTTACTTTTTAAATGAAAATGAAAATGAAAAAGGTAAGCACAGCAGTACTAGATTATTGGTTTATTTTCAATCTTATTCACTCTTCTTGGGAAACTTTTCTTGTCGCCGTCGTTCTCGTTGTTGCTTTCTCTCGTTGACAATTTCATTGCGTTTCTCCACCAACCGTTTCAGTTGGCCATCGCGACGCATCTGTGTCTTGACGGGATGTGCGTGTTCACCCTGTAGGGTCATTTGTGTTCCATCGCGGGAAATTTTTACCGAAGCTATGCACCCATAAGCTCTATACTCCGTGCACCGCCATTGCGTGTGGCCTTTGAGCACGTGCTTTCGATAGTAGGAATGATCCTTGATGTACAATTTTCGCCGCTGGCCTTCTACTACGAACCGCACATCCTTGCTCGGATCTATGATGTCTGAATCTGCAAGAGGGAGGAATCGATGAGTTTAACGAGCATAAAAGGACGAGACACCTTGGCCATCTTATGATATTCGTATGAAAAACTATTGTTCAGCTCGAAGGAAAGGCGCGTTTCAGCGAATGAAGTTTTACTACACTGAAAAGCTTAGTCATGTTGATTTCATAGAAAACGCCTACAACGTTTGACCGATAACAAAACTAATGAAATCCACATAACATTCACCTGAATTCTATATTTGATTAATCGTGTTTTGAATCGCCGTTATTGGCAACTCCTCTATTTCAATTTGGTTAATTTCACAACGAATATAAATTCTTTTTCTTGTCCTTCCGACTCAACCGCTCCAGCCGGCGTTCCTCCAACAGACGCTTCCGCTGGCCAAGCCTCCGCCGTTCCGTAACGATTGGGTGATTGTGCGTTCCTCGAATGCTCATTTTGTTGCTCTCCAGATAGGTGGTGGCGCCGGCTTTGCAGCCCAGTGGTCTCGCCTGGCAACACTCCCAAATGGTGTAGCATTCACGCATCTGCTTCCGAGTGAAACTGTAGCCACATATGATCAACTTCTGAGATTTGTCGGTCGCTACGTACTGGATGTCCCGTTCCGGGTTCAACGACCCTGCACCGGCGACGGCTGGAATGAATTTCAACAAGTTAGTAGTGTTTAACGTATAGGCAGCTAATGTCGACAGTTGACACTAAAAGTCTGGTGATCTCAGGAGATTGTTTTTATTTCGAATATGATGATTTCAGTGATATTTAGTTAACAAGAATGTTTGATTTGAAAATGTAGACACTGAAGCTTCAACTGCCCTTTGGATTGATCACGTATGTTGAACGACGAGAAAGGTTTAGAAATTTGTGTCAGTGAATTTTACTGGCCTCAACAAATCCACCGGAATAGGTTTGCATTGCTTGCTTGTTGTTGTAGCCGATGTCGGTGTTCTTCCAACGGAACCTTGTTCACGCCGTCCTGTTATGATGGGATGGTTGTGTGAATTTTTAGCACTCATTTTACGATCATCCTGATAGGTGGCAACAGTAGCCTTGCATCCATATGACGCCTTCTGACAACATTCATAGGCCGTGTATGTACTAAAAGTGTTCTTGCGATAGAACCGGTGACCACCAACCATCAGTTGCATAGCTTTGGTTCCAAATACGTATTCTAGGTTTTTGTCCGAATTTGACCCTGATGCGGCAGCTGGAAAATAAAATCAGAAAATTAGAGTTTTTAATTGTGACAGAGATACAAAGCAACCGTTGTACAATTTGAGGTACTAGTGGCTGTACAAGGCTGTATAAGATTAAATAAAGTCCAGGATCGTCTCAAAACCACAATTTTTAACAGTTAACTATATAGAAATGTGTGTCCGGAATTTCCCACGAAAAACTTCTCGAATATGAGGAAAATTGATAGAGGTTTCACTCAGCCTTTTAGTATACTCCTAGACTGAGTGTGAAATGAGTAGGCTCTGCTCGAAAGTGGATGATTTTCGATTGGGCTGTCACGTTTTTGCTTCGGTTAGAATTTTCCCTTAGGGCCGTTGAATTTAAGTAAAAGTTTCCAATAATGTAGCGTGTTACCATCATATCCTACATTCTGTAGTCGGTAAAGTCATATACGCGAAAGTATTTTTAAATAACCGGAAGTGGAGGATCCATTGTGTGCTAAGGAGGATGTGCAAATGCAATCGAAATCAGGCTTATTGCAGATCATTCCGGTGAATCACGAAATGAGATGCAAAGCGCAGAGAAAAACAAAACTACGGAGCCCATGGAGGATCAAATTAACATAGTGAGACCGGTCTAAATACTTTTTATAATTAAAAAAAAACTAAATAGGGTAAATGACGGATTCGGCAATACCTTATTCTATTATCATCAGGGGGTAAACAAAGTCCTTGATAGCTCCATTTTGGTAGTTGGATACATTATGTTTGGCCAAATTTGCTCTAGGACTTTGTTTACCCCCTGACGATAATAGGTTAAGGTATTGCCAAAGCCGACATTTCCCCTACGTGCCAGGATTCAAAAGAACATTTTGAAACAAGAAGTGTGTGTGTAATACTAATATCCAATTGTAAGAGGTAATACATACATGCGGGGCTTATTGTAAGTGAAAGTAACCTCAAAATTTGCGTGACTCGCCAGACATTCTGAAATGGGTTGCTAGATCTGCAATAGAGCTATCACCTTCTAACTTCCGGACTAAAGCTGTCTACAATGACCATAAATGCGACATTGTAGAGAGAGTTCTTCCATAATAACACTGCCGGCCAGTGGGGGATAGATGGAATACACACACACTTCTAGACTGAGTATGAACTGATAATGGATTATACTTACATCAAAGAAGTTCAAGTTGCCCGGAAAATTCAACTCACTTTTGAGTAAATCCACTTTGGTCGAAATTGAGTCAACTCGACTCAATTTTGAGTCGGTCTGAAAGACCGTGCAGAACCTCATAGTAGTTTGCTGAAGATTAGCAGACTTCAAGGACGACCGTAGAACTTCATAGTAGGCCATATAGTAGTCCGCAGAGCTTCTCATAACTTTAGAACTTTAAGAAGAAAAAAAAACAGAACTTCAGAGAACTGCCAAGACGTTCGCAGAACTTCAAATAAGTTTTCAGAACTTGAGCGATGTTCGCAAAACTTTAGAAAACTTTTCTAAATTTCATAGAAGTTCTGAAAAACTGAAATTTGCAGAACTTCAGAGAAGATCGTAAAATTTCAGTGTAGTTCATAGTACTATAGGTAAGCAAAGAGCAGTTTGTAGGACTATTAAAACTTAAAGAAAAATTCAGCTTCCCTGAAGTTCTTGGATTTCTCTGAATATCCCAAAATTTTCGTGAATTTCGTGGAACTTTTTTAATATTTCCAACTATTTTCTTGATCCTCGTGAAGCTGCTCTGATATTCTCCAATCTTCTGTACCTCTTTGAATTTCCTTTAGTTGCCGGAATTTCTCTGATCGGAATTTGACTGCAGCTCTAACGACTTTCATGAAGTTCTCAAAACTTCCTTTAGGTATCTGCAGTTTCTTTTTCAAAATTCACGGTACTTTCTTGAAGTTCATAGAATTGCCCTGGAGTTCGTGGAGCTCTTCTGAAGTGGAACTTCCTTCAAGATTTTTAAACTTTCTTAAAGTTCTCTAGACTTTGCTGATGTTTTCTTTACTTCCTTGGAGCTTTCGGATTTTTTTTTATTTTTCTATAGTTCCTCAATCTGTCCTGATGATCACGATACCTAACTGATATCCGCTTAATTTTCCTGAAGATCTCTACATTTCTCATATCTGCTTGGTACTGCTCTCAAGTTCCCGGAACTTCGCTGATGGTCTTGAGACTTCACTGAAGTTTTTAGAATTGACTTGAAGCACTCAGGACTTCTCCTTCATTCATAGAACTCTAAGTTTTTCATCGAGTTCTCAATACATTCATGAAGTTCTCAATATATCTCAGAAAAGCTCTGAACATCATAAAAGAGCAGTTCCACGCAATTTGACTTTGAGATCTGGATTAACATTCACCTTATTCGCTGGTGCCTATATGTCATAACTGGCTCAATAACCCTCAGTTTAAAATTCAACCTTAGTTCTTCACTTGTACCTCCATAACAAAGCAAAGCTCGCTGCTGAATCGCTCATGAATCATTCACAGAGCAGCGAGCTTTTCATACAATAGGAGATAAATAAGTGCATGCATTTTTGTGAGTCTCGCATCAACAATCAAACTATTTCTTAATATCTAGCGTTCAGAATCATAAGGGCCTAACTACCATGATCGATTCTCTTAATCAATTTTCTTTTTTGTTAATAACCCATCTGGATTGACATTTCTCTGTGCGTTTCACTACATTGTATTGTGATAATTTCGGAAAATTTGTTCACTGTACTGCGGTAATGCGAAGAGAAAATCGATGAAGAGAATCGATCATCGCAGTTAGGCCCTTATGATTTTGAAATTAGATAATGCTATCTTACGTGTCTCGTTTGCCCTCTCGATTAGCTCATTCAAACGCTCATGACGATAATGGTTTTCCGCAACGACCAGATGATTGTGAGTTCGTCGAACATCTACTTTATTGGAATTCGGGTAAGCGGCCACAGTTACTTTACATCCGAATGGCCTTCTCTGGCAGCACTCCCAGGTGCTGTGTTGTTTGCCATTGTACTGTAGAGTAAAACTGTGACCACCTACTAGCAGATACTGTGTCTTGCCGCGCTTGACGTATTGAACGTCATTGACCGGTTCAAGCGGAGTCTCGTCCCCTGGAATGAGAAAAGCAAAATCATTATATAACACTCATTTTCACGACCATTCTCTAACGGGACAGTGTTGCCAGTTTTTACAGTTTTGTAGCTGTATCAACCATCTTAAGGAGTTTCCTTGTAGAGTCCTTTTTCTTATTACACTTCGCAATTTCAAAATTTACGAGGTTTGTAAATCTGTAAATTTTAGACTTTGCTTGCTCTTCCGCAGCAAACAACAAGTAGCAGTTACAGCTACGAGCATTCACAAAAAAGCTAATATTTTGACTTATAAAATTGGGACGTATAATGCAAAAAAGGCCGCTACAAGCAATCACGTTAAACACATGCTATAGTTAAACCACAAATTAAAGTTGACGAATTTAATATTTGAACAATCACCCATATTTCTTGTTTTCGTTCGAACCGAACGAAAACAAGAATATGGGTGAATGTCAAAGAAAACAGTCGAAACTTCTTCTTTGCATGGGCTGTACTTAAGCAGCATATGAAAGAACAACTGATGATCAAACGAAGAACTTTCCCTTCTTTTGAGCATGAGCTGTTCTTTCACATTTTTTAAAGTCTGCAATAAATGCATTTTTTCGCGTTTACACCAAATAGCTATTATGCCAAACGGCATTATACCAAATGGAAAACTCCCGCTGTAACTGGTGCACTTGCCCTGAGTTTAAAATTCAATCATATCTTACGTGTGCTATTTTTCCCCTTCAAAGGCTTGATTTTCGCTTTTAGACGCTCACGACGCACGCGTTTCTCCGCTACGATCGGATGATTGTGAGTTCGCCGAACATCTATTTTACTGGAATTCGCGTACGTGGAAACAGTTACCTTACATCCGAATGGCTTCCGCTGGCAGCACTCCCAGGTGCTGCGTTTTTTGCCACTGTACTGGCGAGTGAACCTGTAGCCACATACCATCAAGTACTGTGTCCTGCCTCGTTGGACGTATTGAACATCATCGACCGGTTGCAACAGACTCTCGTCTCCTGGAATGAGAAATGCAAAATCATTAGTTCACAATTCGCCAGAAACTCGTTTCCGCGATCAATCGAGTCTCTCTCAGAACATACATCAAAATACAACCCCCAAAAGAAAGCCTAGCATTTTATTGAAAAGCAATCTTCATATTTTTAAACAATTTCAGTTCAGCTCTCTCCTTTTCTCGTCGCTCGAGCAGTTTCCTCAGTGCGCCGACTTTTCATCGTTCTAGGATGAACAGTATTTTGCCCTGATTCTCTTTTCTGTATATTGGTTTCCTGGTGGTGCAACTGAAACAATAGATATAGTATTCATTAGTGCACCTCGTACGACAGAATTTTTGTAAATATTTTCAACTATTTCGAAATATTGAAACACGAAATCGAACTTTTTTGATTCTGTGTTACTGTTGGCATCAATATTGTCATACTACTACTTATCAACATTGACAATATTTTTGCTTATGTGGTGCCTACTTTTGAGATGTTAAACCCTTGATTGGCTTATATTTATTTAAGGTGAAAGTGACCTAGCGAGTAAATAAAAATTTCAAAAATGGTTTTCTCTGAGACATCACTTCAGATTGGAAAAAGCTCTTGTGCGTTTGTTCGAAATAATAAAAGAAACACATCGACAATACAAGATCTTCAGATATCGACGATTAACAGCTGCAGTTAGATGGTAGCCAATAACAATCCCGAGTCGTGACATAACCTGGAATTTGTAGTTGAAGGTAGTTCGGGATTTGCCTCTTGCGATACCTGCCTTGCGATGGTTATAGGGCAGATCTCTCTCTAATTTGATTGTCATTATATGGAATACTACCAAACTAGAGAGAGGGAGAGATCCTTCCTACAACCATCGGTTAATTGCTTGGAGCAATTCCATCCCATCGCCAATCAACAAGCACAATGGTATGTCTCTCAACTGATTCCATGGACAATTCCAAATTTCCTTCCATTTCAGGAGTACCTATTAGGTTTTGCACCGTCGGGGTTAACCTCAATCTGATGACAGTTCAGTGGTACTGTTTACGTGGACTTAGTCTATTTTTTCTTGGGTGGATTTTCTCGATAATTTTTCAGACTGCAGTGAGATGTACACAGCATTTCTGCAATGTTCACGAGCAACATCCTTGCAACGCGCTGTTCCTCGACAATTTTCAAGTTAAAATTCAGAAACTTTAGAAATTTTTTTTCGAAAAAACGACTAAGTGCTTGTAAACAGTACCACTGAACTGTCAAAAAGGTTCAGCCGTTTAATACTGAGTTCATTTGTGACGTCACGCTGCAGAACCTAATTCCCTGTCGGTGATAGGGCTGTACCAAGAAGTTCTTCAATCCAGTAAATACTAATTGAACTAATTGAAACAACATTGTATTGTGTATCCCAAGGTGCGGATTGCTATTTCCCCCCACCTGAATAGCAACCCCCGGTACGCAAGTAGCATTATGGTAGAGGTTGGTAAATGTGCCTTATTTACTCATTGGTACGGTTGCTCTAAAGAGCCTGAATTTATAAGGCCGTTCGCAATGCTGTTGTATTTTATAACGACTGTTTCAATTTGAAACTAGAACAGAAAGGCACCTCTCGCAGTTTCATTATTCGAGCACTATTTTGCACCAGATTTGCAACTGCTCGACTATTCTGATTTATTTCTGAGCGAGTTTGAAACACGAATGGAACTCTGTTTCAAATTTCTTTGGATGTGTTTAAAGATGTTTCGAAGAGCTTCACAAACAAAAAACGGAGAACTTCATAGAGAACAGTGAAGTTTATGGAACTTGATGATTACAAACATCTTTTAGAACTGTGCGTTGCGATGATCGTGTTGCAGTTTTATTTTTGACAGTTTCAAATTATAGAATTTACGAGTAGTTCAAAAAAAAATTGAAACTCAGCATTGCGTACGGCCTAAAGAGACGACATCTTATCCATCTGACAGGTCTTCTGCTCGATTGGAATGACTTTTCCTATGACTTTGACAGACAAACGATTGTTCCAATTTTGACATGTCGCCTCTTTATAAATTTAGGCTCTTTACTTCTTCCGTACACGGTAAAATGTTGTCACATCTAATCCAAATGCTCTTGCACTTGACTTAGGCTGTGTTCCATTTGGTGAATTTTCACTTAAATTTGACACTTCGAAAATAAATTAAGATATTCGAAAATCCCTCTGTTGTTGATCTTCCTATTTTCGAGAAGGTGTTTGTCAAAATTGATTCCTGGTCTGTCAGAAATAAGTGTGGTACAATAGCAGGTTTATTTGGTTTTTTTCCATCTGTCAAATTTAAGTGAAAATTCACCAAATGGAACACAGTCTTAGGCTCTGAACCATTTGGTGGATTATTTTAACTTTTGGTTGAAATTTGACAGATGGAAAGTTATCGATTAACCCTACTATCCGAGCGTGGTTATTTCTGACAGACAAGAAGTTAAATTTTGACGACCGTGGCTCGAAAACCAGTCGATCGACAGCACGGGGATTTTCGAACATAAGAAATAACTTTCGAAATGTCACTTATAACTACGAGTTAAATTTAACTCGGCAAATGGTTCACAGCCTTAGTCTGTCATGCGGCACTACGAATCGAAGTGATTTATCATTGATTTTCAAGTGATTTGCGTTTTGAAACAAAGTTATTTGTCGTTGAAAAAAGTACTGTATAACACCTTTAAATCAAAATGATTATCATTCTAATTGGCACCACTGTTTTCATCAATTGAATTTGATTAGTTTTGCTTTTGGATGCAAACGTCTAAAACGCACATGCCAAACATTACTCGCGAGATCAACAACAAGTAAAAGCAAGAAAGCGATAATGCTCCATTTCCACTCGAAATAATTTGCATTCTAGGGTGCGAATATTACGAAATTGTTGCTGTATTCAATAAAAGTGTATTATTCAGATAAGTTCTATTACAAAACATTGTCAAACTTATCAAATTGATTGCTCAATGTTACTTCTACTACAACCTTGTAATGTTGTTCAATATCACTTGGAAACATGTGATCTGGGTAGTAATATGATACATGTTCTATGGTCATATTCTGAATATCATATAACAAGGCTTGCAGTATGAACAAGGCAATATATTTATTTAAATCCATATTCAGCAAACATGAAATCCAAGGATAAATTATTAAATTTAACTAATTAAACTAAGTAATACCCAAGGGGGACGACTCTATCTACGATGCAGGAAAGATTGTGGTTAGCTGCGCGTACGCTGAGTAGATAGAAAGAGGATTGATGACAATTCTGAAACTTTCCTGCAAAAAGATGATGCGCGATGTAAGTAGATGCGAGAAATGAAAGAAGATTTTTAGAAGATTGATTCGCTAGTGTGAGATTTTTCGAGCATCTAGAATTGAGATTTAGATGTGTCGCCCCCCTCGGTAATACTTATGTAAAAATGAAGATGCACGATTGTAAACCCAACGACCCATTTAAACAATGACTGCTCATATATGTGCATTCTAGGATCGCCTTCATATATACAATGGGGGGCTTCATGGATACATCCACAAATCAAATGGATTTGATACTTCCATCGAGACTTCCAGGATTAAACATTTCCACCTTTGATCCTGAAGTGTATTTAGTTGAAGTAGAATTTTGTTATCTACAATATTAATAATAATACGAAACGATCTCACCAAAACTTATCAATGTTTCTTCGTTGGGCTCCGTTCCATCGGGTGCACACCTGACCCACACAAATTAGCAGTAGCAACACATTAGGAGTCCCGTTGGGTGCGGCGCTTTCAATTGCAACGAACGGAAAACCCATTTTTTGTCCGTTTCACTGCACCCGATTCTATAAAGTTCACAAATTCCCATCACCAGACAAAAACAAATTGCCCGTTTGCCACACTGAATTTTCACCAAAAACTCTGGTACCGTCCCTCAATTTGGATTATTCTTCTTTTTGAAATATTCTTCAATCATCATCATAAGTATACACCCGGGACGGGACTTGACAATCCAGCTTCTCACTCTTCTTAATGTTTTTGATGAATGCCCGTCGAAAATTAGTGCATGGTGTTTGAAGGAGTTGACCAATGATGCCAGAATTGCAGAATGATTTTTCTATTTTAATTTTAATTTGATTCGGAGTTTCTACCGCAGTTTAGCACCTTGTACATCATTTTTACTTAACACAACAAAAACAACCATAAACAAACAAGAATATCTATCTAGCACGCCGTGGACCCTATTTTCCAACTTTCCTTTCGCAAATATAAACAATTAACAACGCCAGTGACGTCAACATTGATTCCGGCATAACTGCCAGTCAGATTGATGTGATCTTTTTATTCCACGATTGCAACTGTCAAATCTACCAATCAGCAACTGGCTCGGATTTGACAGCAAATTGGCTCGAAATCGCTACACATACATTCACACACAAGCCATCCGAAAATTTGAAGCAAGTATTTCATGACTTCATGATCGTATATTTTCTGGGTAGAACACCAAAACTGGATTTACTTACTTGTGTTCTTCGTAGCATTCCACAATTTTTCGTAATCGAATACACAAAATTAAAATAAACTGGAGGTCAAATCTTTTGGTGAACAAAATAAAACACCAAGAAAAGCACTTCGACTCCACTGTTTTGCTAGCGTGCGTAAAAGAATCATTGCACAAACGTTGCCAGATGTATTACCTTTAGCCGTGAATATAAGTTTATTAAAACAAGCAAATATGAAGTTTAAACCAATAACTTAGATGAGTGGATGTTTTGAATGGTGAATAAATATCAAAACCTAAATAAATAAAACTAAAAGGACCTTTTTTGGAACTTAAACGTTTCAATTACAAAGGTAAAAACGAGAGAATTAAAAACAACAGGGGAGATGGCAGTATTGCATGTAGCCTGTTATAGTCCTCTCCAGGCGGGTTCGTATTGGTGAGATTTGCGTGTGTTAGTGAGATGAAATTTTTTGTTAGCTGTGAGATTTTTTTTGTTTGCTGTAAGAACTGTCATTCTAAAGTAAA